TGGACGCTGACGTGTTGAATGTATGCGGTCGTCCCGTCCTCCAGCTGAATGGTGTTTCCTTCTACTAGACTCCCATCTGCACACAGATGCAAACACACAGATAGACGAATGCAAACACATGCACACACACACACACACGCATACACACACATATAATTTTATGATAGTAATCACCCTGTAAACACACATGAAAGTGTAATCATTTATCTCACCGCTGATGCTCTGCTGGATAAAAGCAGTGGATCCGTCGCTCAGAGCCACAGCCTGAAGCCCCAGCCCCTCCATCACAACGCTGATCTGAACACACACACACACACACATATAATATTTACACACAATATACCACCAATCATTTTCCCAGAGATGGGTTGCAGCTGGAAGGGCATCCGCTGCGTAGAAACTTGCTGGATAAGTTGGCGGTTCATTCCGCTGTGGCGGCCCCGGATTAATAAAGGGACTAAGCCGACAAGAAAATGAATGAATGAATGAATGACTACCACCAACCACAAAACCACAACATGTGCCATGACCATAGGTGTAAAGTGTGGTCACACCATGTTTACTGTTCAGTGAAGTTTTATAGGCAAAATCTCCGCGTGATCGAGAGTTTAAGACATAAGCAATGAACTTCCCAATGCATATTTTGACAAACAGACAAAGATATAAGAATGGGAAATGCGAGTTATTAGCCGCGTCCGAAGAAACAATACATATTTCAGGTTAGGTTGCACAGGGTGGCTCAGTGGTCAGCACTGTGGCCTCACAGCAAGAAGGTCGCTGGTTTGAGTACCAACTGGGTCTGGTGTTTTTTTGTGGAGTTTGCATGTTCTCCCCGTGTTGGCGTGAGTTTCCTCCGGGTGCTCCGGTTTCCCCAACAGTCCAAACACATGCGCTATAGGGGAACTGATCAACTAAACTGAGTGTAGTGTATGAGTGTGTGTGTGAATGAGTGTGTATGGGTGTTTTCAGTGTTAGGTTGCAGCTGGAAGGGCATCCGCTGCGTAAAACATATGCTGGAGTAGTTGGCGGTTCATTGCGCTGTGGCGACTCCTGATGAATAAAGGGACTATTCACCGAAGAAAAAAGAATGAATGAAACAAAATAAGCAAAAACATGCACATAGTTAGGTATTTATAGAGTGTAGTGCTGGGTTCACACCAAATGTAAATGTAAATATTTGCGTAAGTAGATAACGTAGAAAGTAAATTTAAACTCGTCAGTACATGTAATTTTTTTTGCAAGACTGCGCAAATAATGCAGATTAAGGCTGCTTTCACACCTGTGAATGGATTCAGTTGTTCTGAAACAGAGATTATAATTGTTACATTGTTGCTCTTTGCTCTTGGAGCGGTTCACTTTTACACTGCACAGTTTCTAATCGGACCAAAAGAGCTAAAACAAGTCACGTGTGAGTAAACTCTCCTCACATTGGTCAGAGTGTCAGGGTTTATTTTGCAGCGTCCCGCTCAGCTGTCAGGAGAGGTGGTGGTTTGGTGGTGATTGACAGGGTGCGCGCGTGACGTGTCTGAGGAGAGATGCGGTGGGGAGGGGTGAGAAGGGTGCGCGACGATGCCTATTTGAGGACCGGGAGGGAGACGCGAGATTACCGGGAGATCATCACTCGTTTGCGGGCACACGGAGACTCGCGAAACTTCCCGCCATACTCATAACTCTCTCTTCATATAGCCGTAAGCCTATTACTTATCCATAAACACTGTGATATAACCGCGCTCGGATCTGATCGCTTTCTCACTGCAATCGATCGGTCCAGGGTTCGTTTCAATCGAGCCGAGACCACCTCATTCAAGCGATCTCGGAGCGATTACTTTGGCGCGGAACAGAGCGCGATTGCCCTGTTCACATATGCCAAACAAACCGCGCTAACTGGGCGAACGAGGCACGTTCCGAAACAAAAGTGCAGGTGTGAAAGCACCCTAAGTTTGCTGTAAATGTATAGCTTTTTTAATTAATTATTTTTTCATGGTTTTTACCTTTATTGGACAGGACAGTAGAAAGTATTGACGGGGAAGCATGGGATCGGCATAGGACCGCAAGGCGGGAAGCGAACTCGAGTCGCCGAGAGCACCGCAGTGCACATGTCGACACACTAACCACTACACCACTGGCCGTAAGGAATTTTAAAATGCGTTTTTCGCTCAAGTTCAAAAAATACTAATTTTTAAACTTGCAATGTCAAAAAAACATGCTGTGAATAATCTAGTGACGCGATTCTTCATGTCTGGCGTGGACCTAGCGTAAATGTTGGACTGTGTCATCGGCTGTGCTACTATGGAGGAGCGGAGCTAAAGATTTCTTTTAGGGCGTTTGCTCATTTCAGCCCTCTGATTGGTGGCCTTTCGGCACAGCATCATGGGTAATGTAGTTCTTCAGCACAAATTCAGCTGTTTGGGGTAGTCTACACACATACTGGTATGAGTTTTTCTCTTTTATGTAATAAACAAATTGTGTTCACAGTAGTGTTGTCATGATACTGGAATTCGGTACCAATCGATACAAAAATTTTAAAAACAACCATTTTCCGCTAACATTTGAGCGCGTTTTTAATCAGCGCCGATTAGCCATTGGCTGTGTCTGAAACCGCCTACTACTCAGTAGGTACGGCATTTGAATTTACACGTACTGTTCGGCCGTTACAAAAGTGTGTTCTATAAAGTATGAACGTGAAAAGTGTGACTAGAATTCGGACGTACTACATCCGCCATTTTGTCAGGGTCACGTGACATACCTGCATCAATTGCGTTGCTTCCATTCATGAATTTGCTCGCGGGGCATTATGGGATAGCGCAGCATGCATGGGATGCGCACCCCAGAATCTCGCTGGATGTAGTAAGTCATCCGGGTATTTCTCGCATACCGATTTTCCAATTCTATGAATTCATACATACTACTCAGCTCGCATACTGATTTTAGCGTACTATATAGTACGAAAGTGAGCGGTTTCCGACGCAGCCATTGTGTTTAGGTTCTCAACAAAAATGACTGTGATTGGCTGTGAAGGTCATCAGTTCACCAAACTCACCGCTGTTTACTCAATGTAGCAACAGATACAGGAACACTGGAGCCTTTTATAGCCACGATTCATCAGCGGATCGCTCGTATGTCAGCTTATAGACAAAACAGCTGATCTTCGTGACTTTGAAACGCTCCAGTGTCCTATGGTATCTATGGTTACACTTAGTAAACAGCGGTGAATTCGGTAAACTGTTGACCTTCACGGAGAATCAGTCATTTCTGTAGAGCACCTGAACACAATAGCTAATCAGCGCCGATTAAGAACGCGCTCAAATGTTAGTGGAATATAGACGTTTTTAAAATTTTAGTACCGTTTGATATCGAATTCCAATTTCGTGACAACATTCGTCCACACGAAATTGCAAAAACACACTGGCGTCTGAAATTGTCACGTGTTTTTTTGTCTTGAAAAATTGAGAAAATCAACCCAAGTCTGACTGTTTTTAATGCGAATAAAAGTTTCAGAGGCAGTTTGTAAATGCAAATAACTCAACGTGTAGGTCATATTTATTTTTAAAGTGCAAACATTTCCGACTCAATACAGTTCACTGTGAAGTCAGCCAATCAGAAGCCTGAAAAAACGTTATTACTACCTGTGCTTCTTTTTTATTGTCGAATTACATTATTATTGGTTCTGGAAGAATATTAGCATACAAAGATAACGTAGAAAGTACATTTAAACGCACAAATACAGGTAAGCTTCCGCCAGACCTCATTGTGAAGCGATGCAGAATGCTTGTCGTAATCTTGTGGAATTCGCGTCAATTGGATTTTCCGCACAAGTTCCAGAAGGTTAACGAATCAAGTAAACGTGTAAAGAAAACAGCGAAAACAACGTAACAATTCAAAACAGCTACATGACGACACTCCACACTGGCAAGAGTTCGCTAAGTAATGTTTCAGAGTTATTAAGTGATGTTTCAGTGACCGATACAAACCACGTAGGGAAACGTCCGGTTATCAACAACATACGTGTGGACGGGGCCTTAACCATGTACTAAAAATTAAACTTATGTGAACATATGTGTGTTTACCAAAAGCAGACACAATCCATTAACAACCTCATAACAGTTAACACTTACAATTTAAACACTTTCCTATTGAGAAACAGTTGCACATTACAGCTCTAGCCAACATTTCTATCTTTAATTAACCACAAAAATACATTTTAAAAGAAGCATTTAAGACGCTGCAGCGGGAAAATACTCAAAACTGCCATGTTGTGTTCATGTAGCTCCCACTAATACTGCAGTGGTGTGTTTGAGGAGCTCAGGGACAGCGTGTAAATGAGCTGTGATGGGAATATGTGTGTTGTTTAAACAAATTAAACCCTCTTCAGTGCTGAACGCGGAACGCGCGCGGCCGCGGCCTCGCATTTGACACATTCACGCGCGCGCGCCTAAACACACACACAGAAGAACAGAGATAGAGAATGGTGTAAATGAAGTGTGTGTGTGTGAGAGAGAGTGTGTGCAGAATCTGCTGTGTGTCCTCCACTATCCCATCATTCTCTGTGGAGCAGCAGCAGCGCAGGCTGGGATACTCACCACCGCCAGCGGCCCAACATGCACTGCGGTGGACTCACGTGCACGCGGAGCCGCCGATCAGCAGAGCCGCCGCAGTGTGTCAAGTCCTCCAGCAGGGGGCGCGCGATGATTTGTATTCATTCATTTATTCACCTTTGGCTTAGTCCCTTTGTTCCTCAGGGGTCGCCACAGCGGAATGTACCGCCAACTATTCCAGCACGTTTTACGCAGCGGATGCCCTTAATAAATTGTTTTAATTAATTAATTCATTATATTAATAAATATTATAATATTAAATAATGTTATAGAATAAACTAAATTATTTTAATATATATTTATTGTATAATAAATATAACAATTATATATATATATATATATATATATATATATATATATATATATATATATATATATATATATATATATATATATTATTATTATTATTATTATTATAAATATATGAATTAATATATATATATATATATATATATATATATATATATATATATATATATATATATATATAAATATTATTATTATTATTATAAATATATGAATTAATTTTTATTAAGAAAAGTTTAGAAAACTAAACTAAACAGGGGCTTAAAATGTAAATGAAAACACAAATACACAAAATAGCACAAATCCAAGCACAGTGACCATAATAAATCAATAATAATCGCCAGTTATTAATATCATATTTTTGACATACATTAAAAGTTATTTTAGCTTTACAATTTTTGGATTTTTATTTTGTTTTAATAGACTTTAATAGATATATTTATGTTTAATTTTACAAATAAAATCAGATAAAAATGGCTAATTATTAGTGTATTTGCATTTATAAATACAACATTTTCCTAAAGTAAAATTGTAATTCATGACATAAAATCAGTTGTCTCCTTTGGTATATTCATAAAGGCCAAAAACAATATGTTTAAGGGAAAAACAATGTCTGGGTGAAGATTATTTGTGAAAACAACAACAGAAAACTGTGTTCAGGTCCAGAGTGTGCGCTGATATAAACACACAGTCATGTTGGTGTTGTTGTTTTAGGTTTATAAATATAACAACATTAAAAAGTCAGCATTTAAAGCGGATATGTTATTGAATACCAAATATTGATTTAAAAAATAGTGGTATTATTCAATGCTCTTTCTGCTTTCATTTTCTTCCTCGAAATCAACTTTTGGAAGTCACCTAAATACTAATAAACGGCAATAAATAATTACAAACATTTACATTTATTGTCAGGAAATTACAAACAATGATCGATAAATTAAAAACTGGTAATTGTTGCTAAATTGGATATGGTTGTGGCCGGAAGTTAACAAGAATCATTTTTATTATTTATTAAATTTCCCATTTATTGTATTTTATTTATTTATGTAGACTAAAAGAGAAAATAATGCACATTAATCTTGTCTCAGCTCTGCAAGTGCAATGGTACACACATACAGACATTATTTACATCTAACTATGTGTGTCTATACGTGAACTGCTAAAAACAATCAAAATAATGACCAAGTATATGTATTCTCCTGTTTGATCCTCACAGCGCCTCTGCTGGTCACAGAGAGCATTACAGCTGCTGATCCTCTTGGTGCGCCTCTGTGCTTTATAACCTGGAAGCGGAAGAATCGACCGATACTGGGACGTCACACGGGGTCACTTTCAGCAAGCAAATGTAAACCTTGTAGAATATAATTGAGCTGTACATATTAACTGTAATCAAAGATGCACCAAACATGTTTTAAATGGCTAATGTTAACGCTGGTATACACACACAAACACACTTGAAAATAGACATGCACAGCACTTTTATACTCACACACATATATATATATAAACCAACTAAAATATAAAAGTTATATATCACAAAATTATGTAAATAATTGGATTTAGAAAGGATGGATATATATATATATATATATATATATATATATATATATATATATATATATATATATATATATATATATATATATATATATATATAATATTTAACTAACATTATTGGAGCCTTTATATGTTTTGGTTAATTGTTTATCCTGAGATTACAAATCTCTAGCAGTTTTCCTGCTAAAATAAAGGTTCCAATTAAAAATAGGTAAACAAAAATGTAAATGATGAAACACAAGCTTCATAATGTTTAGCTTTGTTGAACCTAATATTTTTTCTCTAAACAATCCCATAATTCATCAGTCACGCGCGCACACACACACACACACTGACAGCAGAGTTTACGAACAGCAGCTTTTGTTTACTGTGTAAATCCACATAAATCTCTGAATCATATTAGTAGATCACATTATGGTCTTCATCTGAATCGCAATATTTACAGTGATTAAACGCCAGAGAACAAAACAGCATCGGCTATGACGCTGCCTGATGATGTCACCACACCCAGTATTCTCCTATTGGCAGTTGGGGCGTGACATCATCGGCTGATGACAGACATATAAAGTGCTTTGATTGGCTGATCGGTGAATCTCCAGAGGGACGTCAGAATTTCAGCGTGACGACATATTCATGACGAAAAAACCCTTTCTGCGCATATTACCGTAACGCAAAGATTTTCATACTCATTACCGTAACGAGAAAAACACGCTTATTATTGGTGCAAAACTAAGTATTTCTAAATGATGCTGTAATACTGAAAAATGGTCTCCAAGTCAATACCGTACTCTAGAAAACTAATAATTCTCATCACTGTATTACACCACATTTGTCATCACTGTAATAAACAAACAAAAAACTTTATGAAAATATTCTCATTACCGCTACATAAACATTTACCACAATAAGGAAAATATTTTGGCCAAAATTATTCTTCTCATTACAGATCACAAAAAAATTATTTTTGTACTGATTACTGATTACCGTCATGAAGTATGTTCATTAACACTACACAAAATAAACGCATATACCATAAAATGGAAAACATTTGTAAATAAACATTCTTCTCATTACCGTAATGCACCAATATATTATTCTCATTACTATTGGGAAAATATTAGCATTAACGTTACACAAAATAAACATTTACTATAATATGGAAAATATTCTGAACTAAAATGATCATTCTCATTACCGTAATACACCAAAAAAAGTCAGTCATCAGAATCGTGTAAAAATTTGATTATTACGCTACACAAAATAAACATTTTCCAAAATGATTTTTCTCACCACCATAATGAAAAATAAATTATTGTAATTAGTCATGAAAATGTTTTCGTTAACACTACACAAAATAAACATTTACCATAAAATAGAAAATATTTATAACTTAACTTTTTCTTCTCATTACCGTTACGCACCAATATATTATTCTCATTATCTTTGTGAAACTATTATTTGTTACACTAAATAAACATTTACCATAAAATGGAAAATATTTATAACTAAAGGTATTCTTCTCATTACCGTAACACACCAATATATTATTCTCATTATCTTTGTGAAATATTATCATTAACGTTACGCTAAATAAACATTTACCATAATATGGAAAATATTTTAAACAAAATCCACTGTTTTCATTACAGCAATACAGCAAGAAATTATTGTTCTCATTACCGCTGCACAAAATAAACATTTACCATAATAGGAAAAATATTTGGGCCAAAATTATTTTTCTCATTACCGTAATACACAAAAAATATTATTCTGATTACCGTCATGAAAATATTTTCATTAACACTACACAAAATAAATGCATATACCATAAATTGGAAAATATTTGTAACTAAACTTATTCTTCTCATTACCGTGACGCACCAATATATTATTCTCATTATCATTGTGAAAACATTATCATTACTGTTACAAAAATAAACATTTACCATAATATGGAGAATATTTTGGCCTGAAACCACAGTTTTTATAACCGCAATACAGCAAAAAAACTATTATTCTCACCTCCGCTGCACAAAATAAACATTTACTATAAAATGGAAAATATTCTAAACTAAAATGATCATTCTCATTACTGTAATACAGCAAAAAAATTACCATTGTGGAAAAATAAGATCATTACGCTACACAAAATAAACATTTACGATAACATGGAAAATATTTTGGTCAAAATTATTTTCCTCATTACCATAATGAAAAATAAATTATTAGTCTGATTACCGTCATGAAAATATTTTCATGAACACAACACAAAATAAACGTATTTACCATAAAATGGAAATATTTTATAACTAAACGTATTCTTCTCATTACCGTAACGCACCAATATATTATTCTCATTATTTTTGTAAAAATATTATCATTACCATTACAGAAAATAAACATTTACCATAATATGGAAAATATTTTAAACAAAAACCACTGTTTTCATTACCACAATACAGCAAGAAATTATTATTTTCATTGCCGTCATGGAAAAATATTATCATTACCGCTACACAAAATAAACATTTACCATAACATAATTAAGTAAAATTACCCTTCTCGTTTAAGTGATACACCAAAAAACTATTCTCATTACTGCCATCAAAAAATGCCTATATGATGAAAAATTAACAAAAAAAACGTCACTGTAATACAGCGAAATAGTCTCCATATTGGTAAATACACACTCATTACCATCTTACAAAATAAATACAATTCTTGACTACAATTTAGAAACAACAAATCACAGAAAATCAGTTTATCATTGTAATCAAACGAAAATACTCTCATTAACCTAATATGAAACTCTTATATTAATATTTAATCAGTACAGCAAAATGTAAATGTTTTGCATTACGGTAATGAGAATGTTTTAGCAGTCTGTAACGAAAATGATTTCTTTTGCATCACAGTAGGACAAAATGAGCTTAATCGTCATGAACATCGCGTGAGACTGTACTAAAGTGTCTGTCTTTAAGCAAAATATCATTTCCACAACACCAGCTTTGGGCTGAAACACGACCGTTCCCGCGGCTCATCCAGACAGAAGACCAGCAAACATCACAGAAGCTCAACAGAAACAGAATTGTGTCCCCATGAAGAAAAAACCAAGGCCGATGTCATTTCCTGAACGCAGTCTGGACACCTGAGATCTGAATGTTCATTGGCACAGCAGTGTTTTTCCTCAAAGCACCGCACTGTCACACTGGACGTCCTGCGCTCCGGACGGAGAAAGCTCCATTAGCCAGAACTGCGAGTCGGCGAACACTGAAGGAGAAACACACGCCGGAAATGAGCTCGAATTTACTTTTCCACAATAACTGTATAGTTGAAGTCAGAATAATTCACCCTCCAGTAAAGTTTATTTCCCAGATGATGTTGAACAGATTCAGGAGTTGTTCACAGTGTTTCCTCTAATGTTTGTTCTTCTGGAGAAAGTCTGATGTGTTTTATTTGGGCTAGAATAAAAGCAGTTTTTAACTGTTTTAAAGTCATGTTAAGGTCAATATTATTCACCCCTTCAGCAATATTAGTGTTGGATTTTCTCCAGAACAAACCACTGTTATACAATGACTTGCCTAATTACCCTAACTTTACCCTAATTACCCTAGTGAAGCCTTTACATGTTACTGTAAGCTGAACACTAGTGTCTTGAAGAATATCTAGTCTAATATTATGTGCTGTCATCATGGAGAAGAGGAAATAAATCAGTGATTAGAGATGAGTTATTAACACTGTTATGATTAGAAATGTGTTGGAGAAATCTGCTCTCTGTCCAAGAGAAGTATTGGAAAAATAAACAGGAGGGAGGATAAATCTGACTTTGACTGTATATAGCAAGAAAACTAAGTTTGCTAATACGCTACAGCAGCATTACCCATGTCCCCGGGCTCCAGCCTCAGACTGAAGGATCTGCAGTGTTTTCGGCATCTCTGCACTGGAAGCAGACGAACATCTGGAGATCCGTCAGCGACCACCATCCAGCCCAACACCTGCACTCTCTACAGCAGCAGAACACACACACACACACACACACACACACACACACACACACACACACACACACACACTGTGCATTAGCATTACCATCGCTCTCATTCACTAATAACTGCACACATTTCGACTGCATACTTTCGAGTTTGTTCTTACAGTCAGTCTAGTGATGGGAAGTTCGGATCATTGAGATAAACAAAAGCCCGAGCGGGTATAATGAAGGAATCACGCCTCAAGGTTGGAGGTGTTGTGTGTTCAGAGATGCTCTTCTGCAGAGCTCGGTTGTAACGAGTGCTTATTTGAGTTACTGTTGCCTTTCTATCAGCTGGAACCAGTCTGGCCATTCTCCTCTGACCTCATCAACAAGGCATTTGCGCCCACAGAACTGCCGCTCACTGGATATTTCCTCTTTGTCGGAGCATTCTCTGTAAAGCCTAGAGATGGTTGTGCGTGAAAATCCCAGTAGATCAGCAGTTTCTGAAATACTCAGAGCAGCCCGTCTGGCAGCAACAACCATGCCACGTTCAAAGTCTCCTAAATCCCCTTTCTTCCCCATTCTGATGCTCACTGTGATCATGTCTACATGCCTAAATTCTCACTGCTGCCATGTGATTGGCTGATAAGACATTTGCATTGACTAGCAGTTGGACAGGTGTACCTAATAAAGTGGCCAATCTTTTTTCAAGTCATTTAGTTCAATTTGCCAAAATATCATTAGTGCGTCACGAGTTGCTTCCAAACCCATCTACAGCTAGCCCAAACACTGATCACACAAGTCAGAACCAGAGTGCTGTAGGACAGAGAGAGTAATCCTCATTGTTTAGCTGGACTTCTGTCTGTGACTAGCTCAGCTGACAGGTCTGCAGGCGTGAGTTGTTCCTTCACGTACCATACAAGCTTAACCAGTGCACAGAATCCGAGCGCATATTTCACATTTCGACTCGGATATTTTGCATATTTCACATTTCGAGTGATTGCTTCATCATGTTCAGCTTGTGAACAGACGACCGGCTCAAACTGAACCCTCGAGAGATCAACAGCTCGGACTGGCTTCTGCTTTTCACATGACTCATAAACTGAACCTAGCCGAACTCAAACCAGTGACCTTCTTGCTGTGGGGCCACTGGGTGCGTGACTGTGTCAGGTTGCTTTTCTGTGTGGAGTTTGCATGTGCTCCCCGTGTTGGCGTGGGTTTCCTCCGGTTTCCCCCACAGTCCAAACACATGCGCTATAGGGGAATTAGCCCAGACCCCTTCCCCTTAACACTCTGTTTCAAGGGCCAAGGAGAAGGGGTTGGGGAATAGAACTGTGAATGGTATAATGTATCAGGTGTAATACTGACGGAGGGCTGTGGGCGTCTGCTGCTCAGTCTGCAGCGCTGCAGTGTGGAGCTCCAGATCTCCAGCAGGGGGCAGCGCTCCGACTCCGGGAACAACCACTGAAGAACTGACTCTCTGGGCCTGGAGGACACACTCCTTATGGAGGAACACACACACACACACACACACAGAGAGAGAGAAGAGTCAACAACTGTGTTTGCATGTCCAAAAATTGAATACTGCACAAAATATGAGCAAATAAAGGCGCGGTTTCATCCAATCAGAAGCAAAAGAGAAGAAAATGAACACTTTCATCTAAACTTGCGGCCAATATCAGACAGGAATAAAAATGTAGCTTTGTGTGTGTGTGTGTGTGTGTGTGTGTGTGTGTACAACTGATGTTTACCACAGCAGAGTGAAGTTTGCAGGAGTCTGAGAGACGGAGGAGAACTGATCCATCTGAGACACACGGAGAGAGAGAGCCGCTCCACCCTGAACACACACACACACACACACACACACACACACATCATGTAATGTCAATATTTGTGTGTGTGACACATCATGTGCATAACATCATCAGTGTGACACAGATATTACAGATGAATTATGAAGACGCTGCAGATGTCCTCACTTCTCAATCAGAGTCAGAAGCTGCAGTCTCCGGAGAGTGTTCAGGGCTGGTTTATGCTTCTGCCTCGTGTGTGTGTGTGTGTGTGTGTGTGTGTGTGTGTGTGTGTGTGTGTGTGTTGCTCTGCAATACACTCCTGAAACAGTAGCTGGCAGTTCGGTTTCTCTGTGTCGAGTTCTTCAAAGGTGTTTTGTTTACTCCAGAAATCCCTGTAATGCTAGTTTATTCTACAGGTACAGCGTGCACTCGTCACAGCTAGACATCAGCCTTGAGGTGTGGGCTTGGGTTTGCACAGAATAAAAACAACTGAAACCTATGGAATGTCTCCACAATTCACAAAAACAAACCTCGGTGTGTGTGTGTGTATGTGTGCCTTAAGCAGCAGTGGGTGTGTATATGTACTGGTTTTGTTGGTTTACAAGGACAGAAATGTTTCTCAATGGCATTGGTATGACCTATTAAAACACTGAGGTGGTTTACGAGGACATATGTTGTGTCCTGGTAATTCAAAACTCTACAAGATGATGTTTAACAAGCTCTTTTCATCATTCAGAATCTGCCGCAGGTGTGTGTGTGTGTGTGCGCTGTTAGGGATGGTTTAGCAGGAGGGCTATAGTTTTACTGTATAAAACCATTGACTAAAGGTTTGGACGTAGTATCCGTGACGTCACCCATCGGTTTTTGAAGAAGGTACAAGTAGGCGTGGCCAATCGTCACCATTTTGTTTGCGCGTCATCGCACCTACAAGGGGATACCAAACAAGGGCAAAGGAGTTACAGACGCCTGCTAGCATTTAGATTAGACAGGCTTTTCTTTAGGAGAACGCTGAATACTCAATTAAGTGCCATATCATCTGATAATTGTAGGAAATAATCCCAAAAGGCGACTGACTGTGTAAAGCCACATAAAACAACACAAAAATACGATGTATATGCCGAGTTCAGCAGCTAATCAGCCGGAATCCGCTGAGATGACGAGACAGCGAGCTGCGAGACCTAGCTGTCACTCAAGTGGCCACGCCCTTAATTATGCAGACTTGATAGTTACTTCCGTATTAGCTTCACAAGGGAGAGCGGGAGGGTGATGCTTGTATAAAATACATTACACCATCGGAGAATCCTCATAAACCACCAATACCTATGTGTGTGTGTGTGTGTACCTTCAGCAGCAGTAGTTGTGTGTGTGTGTGTTCTCCTGCAGATGTCCTCAGCTGGTCTGTGAGCTCCAGTATATCGGTCACGTCTGCGCAGGCGGAGCAGTTCAGATCCATCGACTGCAGACTGCTGGATGCCCACCACTCATGAAAACCTGCAGCGCACACACACAGAAACAAGTTCAGGTAGTCATACAACTGGAGTGAATGTGTTAGCTAATGTGTGAAATACACAATATATACATATATATATATATGTGTGTGTGTGTGGATGTCACGGTGGCACAGTGGGTAGCATGATCGCCTCACAGCAAGATCGCTGGTTCGCAACCACAGCTCAGGTAAAGCATGCATTAGTATTGACTTTTTTTTATTATATTGCGACCTTAAAATGAAAGTATATCTTATAAACTTTAAAAGCTGTTCAGCAATTCTCCACTAGGGGGCGATCTAAACGAACCCGCATGACTGACGTAGACTTTATGGTACTTCTCAAATCACACCCCAGTGAAGAAACATTCAATTTTCCACCAATTTTGTGCCAATGAACGAATCACTCCCTGAGAAGACTCATCATTCCTGAGTCACATTGAAGATTCGTTCAAAATAAATCAACCATTCAAGAAGGACCCATCACTGTGTGTGTGTGTGAGTCTCACCGTGCAGGTTGTATTTCTCAGCGATGGGCAGCTCCAGCAGGCGAATGTGGCTCAGCGGAGAGGAATTGTTCAGTGTGGTGCCGCTCACCGAACCCATGAGCACCGGAGACTGAGGATACGTGAAGACCAGCACCGCCATCAGCACCACGCCCACCGCCACCACAAACTGACGAGCACAGGGACATTTTAAAGACACGTTCACTTCAAACACGGTAACTAGGACTACTAAAGTAGCAATACATATATCTGTGTCCACAATTAAAATATTGTTTATTTTATGATTTTCTTTCTGCATTACCATCTTGTGACCAGCAGGTGTCAGTGTATTTTTAACGCTATTTTAACGAGTTTTTTTGGAATTCATTGCTTTCTGAAATTCCTTTTGGCGCGCGTCGTTCATCACGTGACCCACCAGCCCCAATGATCTGTGTATATGTTGTATTTTGTTTGTTTTTGCCCTTTTCTGTAAATATAGACAAATGTTACGATGATATTGTGAAATATCTGATATGCCCATTCTCAAAAATGAGATAGAACATATATTGTTTGTCTTTTAAACTGGTTAAAAAAAGGTCGTATTATTATTATCGGAAGTATTTATATTATTTACTAAATTACTAGCTAGATGAGATACAGTTGAGGATACTCATGTCAATATAGCATCATTTTTAACGAATAATATTTTCGCAACACCTTGAGGGTTGGGTTTAGGGTTGAGGTAGGGGTAAACGCTAATAAAATACAATTAATGCATAATATAATAAATAATATAAATATTTATAAACTTCTGATCGCAGCTGTAATAATGATTATTATTATTGTCGTCTTCGTAGACATCTGCATGCATTTTACAAACCTTAAATGGTATTTGTTGCTTGTGGTTATGTGTATTGAAATGACTGAAACCTAAAATAAATGTTATTTGTTTGAAAGCTTGGATAAATCGTGATTTATGACAAGCGCTGAGCACCTCTTTCTGTGCCTGAGCGTGCCGTCAGATTTCAATTTGAGCAGTTGATGATGTGCGCTCGGGGCGTTCTTAACACACCGGTGTGATTGTTTGCATGGAAGTTTGAATATATTAAAAGGGGACGCGGTGCGAATGTCCGATCAACCACGCAAAACGCTCAACTTGCATCACTTTAATCGCGCAAATCATTCACACCGCCTCATTTGCACAAATTGCATCATTCGCACAAAACACGTCACTCGTGCGGTCTCATTCACACAAATTGCGTCATTCGTGTCATCTCACTCGCGTAAAACATGGCATTCGTGCTGCCTCATTCGCACAAATAGCATCATTTGTGCCACCTCATTCGCACAAAGTGCTTCATTCGCGTCACCTCATTCGCATAAAACACGTCATTTGCGCTGCCTCATTCGCACAAATAACATCATTTGTGCTACCTCATTCACACAAATTGTGTCATTCGTTCCACCTCATTTGCACAAATCGCGTCATTCCCGCCATCTTATTCGCACAAAACACTTCATTCATGCCACCTCATTCACACAAAATGCATCATTCACACTGCTTCTTTACGCATCATTTGCACAAAACGCATCATTCTCGCGGCCTCATCCACACAAATCGCACCATTTTTGCGGCCTCATTCGCAAAAATTGCATCATTCTTGCCACCTAGATGGGATACAGCTGAGGATACTCATGTCAATATAGCATCATTTCTGTGACACTGTACAACAAATAATATTTTTGCAACACCGTGAGGGTTGGGTTTAGGGTTGAGGTAGGGGTAGATGCTAATAAAATACAATCATTGCATAATTTAATAAATAATAAAAATACTTATTAACTTTTGATTGATCGCAGCTGTAATGTAATAATTATTATTGCCGTCTTCGTAGACATTGCGTGTATTGTACAAACCTTAAATGGTATTTTTAGCTTTTGGTTACGTTTATTGAAATGTCTGAAACTTAAAATAAATGTTATTACTTTGAAAGCACGGATTGTGATCATTCGCACCGCCTCATGCGCAGAAATCGCATCATTCGCAACACCTTCATTCGCACAAAATGTATCATTCTCGCAACCTCATCCACAAAAATTGTGTAATTCGTGTCGCCTTATTCGCACAAATCCGTGGTAAGTTTATTCGCGCCTTTGTATTGACTTACACGTAAATCGCTAACACTTGACGCTTCATCCATGTCTGTGTGAACGCAGAATTAGACTTTCCCTTTGACTAGTGTGATTTAATGGCGCCATCTAGTGGCAGAGTGGATCTTCGGAACACACCACATTCTTCAGTTTTTACATGCATCAATTATTGCATAAAAATAAAGTCATGCAGTGACGCTCAAAACCTGCCGGAACTACTTTATCTGTGCGTGAAATAAGGGTACGCCTCATCAGCCAATCAGGATCAAGTGTTCAACAGCTCTATAGTGTAAATAATGCATATATTTATGTTTTATCTTCTGCTTTACCTTGACGGTGGCCCTGAGTATGGGGAACTGCGGCGGCTCCCTGCGCGGCTCGTTGGTCTCCAGCACCTGCTTGATGAACTTCTCGATCTCGCGCTCCGACATGCCATAGCGGTAGCCGGACTGACGGAGGATATCGATGCTCTCCGACAGCTTATCATAGATGCAGGGCTCACTGAGAGACGAGCCCATGGTCACCGTCCGTCTGTGTGTGTGTTTATGTGTGTGAGTGAGTTAGTGTGTGTAATTGAGTGTGTGTTTTTGAGTGAGTGTGTGTTCAGTGTGTTTGTGAGTGATTAAGTGCATGAAAATGAGTGTGTGTTATTAAGTGTGTTTATGAGTGAGTGTGTTAAGTGTGTGTTTATGAGTGAGTGTGTTAAGTGTGTGTTTATGAATGAGTGTGTTAAGTGTGTGTTTATTAAGTGTGTGTTTATGAATGAGTGTGTTAAGTGTGTGTTTATTAAGTGTGTGTTTATGAGTGAGTGTGTTAAGTGTGTGTTTATTAAGTGTGTGTTTATGAGTGAGTGTGTTAAGTGTGTGTTTATTAAGTGTGTGTTTATGAGTATGTTAAGTGTGTTTGTGAGTGTGTTAAGTGTGTGTTTATTAAGTGTGTGTTTATGAGTGAGTGTGTTAAGTGTGTGTTTATTAAGTGTGTGTTTATGAGTATGTTAAGTGTGTTTGTGAGTGTGTTAAGTGTGTGTTTATTAAGTGTGTGTTTATGAGTGAGTGTGTTAAGTGTGTGTTTATTAAGTGTGTGTTTATGAGTATGTTAAGTGTGTTTGTGAGTGTGTTAAGTGTGTGTTTATTAAGTGTGTGTTTATGAGTGAGTGTGTTAAGTGTGTGTTTATTAAGTGTGTGTTTATGAGTATGTTAAGTGTGTTTGTGAGTGTGTTAAGTGTGTGTTTATTAAGTGTGTGTTTATGAGTGAGTGTGTTAAGTGTGTGTTTATGAGTGAGTGTGTTAAGTGTGTGTTTATTAAGTGTGTGTTTATGTGTGTTTATTAAGTGTGTGTTTATGAGTGAGTGTGTTAAGTGTGTGTTTATTAAGTGTGTGTTTATGAATGAGTGTGTTAAGTGTGTGTTTATTAAGTGTGTGTTTATGAGTATGTTAAGTGTGTTTGTGAGTGTGTTAAGTGTGTGTTTATGAATGAGTGTGTTAAGTGTGCGTTTATTAAGTGTGTGTTTATGAGTATGTTAAGTGTGTTTGTGAGTGTGTTAAGTGTGTGTTTATTAAGTGTGTGTTTATGAGTGAGTATGTTAAGTGTGTGTTTGTGAGTGTGTTAAGTGTGTGTTTAAGTGTGTGTTTATGAGTGAGTGTGTTAAGTGTGTGTTTATGAGTGAGCGTTATTTAATGTGTGTATGTGTGTTACAGTGAGTGTTGTGGGTGAGTGTATGATTGTGTGCGTGTTATTGTGTCTGTATGTGTCTCAGTGTGTGTGTTTGTTTATTTGTTTGTGTGTGTGTGTGTAATTGAGTGTATGTCCGTAAATGTATGTTTGTATGTATGTATGTATGTGTGTGTGTGTGTGTGTGTATGTCTGTCAGTGAGCGAATGAGTGTGTTTTTTGTATGTGTGTTAGTTTGTTTATGTGTGTCTATGTATGTGTGTTTGTATTTGTGTCAGTGTGTATGTATGTGTGTGTGTCAGTGTGTGTATGAATGTATGTGTGTCAGTGTGTGTATGTATTTGTGTCAGTATGTATGTATGTATGTATGTATGTATGTGTGTGTGTCAGTGTGTGTGTGTATGAATGTATGTATGTCTGTGTATGTGTGTCACAGCTCCTTCATCATGTGTGTATATTGAGCTGAAGATCTGTGTGTTTCAGTCTGTATCTCTGAGCTGTGCTGTTCTTCTATCCCAGATCTCGGGAGAACGCGTTTGCCTTCATGACTGACTCTGATCTCTGAAAAACACGAACACACAATCACAACAACACTCAACACACACGCCAGTCTTCCTCATCCAGTCAGCTGACTAGCAGCGCGCGCTCAAACACTGCCAGACAGAGCCTTCATCATCCTCCATCCGCACAAACACTGCTGGAGAAACACGGAGAACGCACTCACCCTCGCCTCCTGTCGATTATTCGCGATTCCAGAATGATTTCCCGTCAGTTTTCGGAGTTATTGCACTCACGGGTTGACGCTAGCACTACCTGTGTCGCGCGCCTCGCTCATCTGCGCGTTCACGACTGCCGATTCGACGCGCTCTGTTTAATAATACAACTCAATAACGACATTATCGATCAATCTTAATGTAGGAGTTGATCAAATGAACATGGATGGAGTTTTGTACTGTGTTCATGCTAAGAGGTGTTCAGTTTTCTATGAATGAAAACAAACGAATGTGCGGTTATGAATGATCGAGTAGATGTTTAATTTTTAAGAACATTCAGAAAGCAACAAATCACCAATAATAAAACATCTTACTCAACTAGGAAGTCCAAATAGCAGCATCCACAAACAAAAGAAAGACAAAAATAGCTAAATAAATAGTAAAATACAACGCAATATAACACAAGGGTGTTCATCATCACAAATACCTTTAACAGACTGTATAGTTTAAGGGGGGTATTCAAAAAAACAGCATTTATGGATGAAATAATTTGCCAGTCACAGTATTGTTAACCAAAAATTATCAGAATTATGACAAAATATTTTACAGTTTTAAAATCAAGATTAGGTATTACACACTTTAATCTTTGAATTTTTAAAAAAAAATTGCATAAATAAAACATATAATAATAATAATATTAATAATTCCTTACATTTTCTAGAGGCTCAAATCGCTTTACACATTGGGGGGAATCTCCTCATCCACCACCATTGTGCAGCACCCACCTGTATGACGTGACGGCAGACATACTGCGCCAGACCTCACAATACACACCAGCTGATTGGTGGGGAGGAGAAAGAGTGATGAAGCCAGTTATGATATGGGGAGGGTAAAGCTGATTTATACTTCTGCGTCAAGCGCACGCATGTGCTACCGCGCTGACACATAGCCCTACGCTGTGGCCGTCGGCATCGCTGACGTGCACCTCTCAAAAAATTTAACTACACGTTGCAGAGACGCATAGCGCAAGCTCTGTGATTGGTCGGCTTTTTAGCGCTGACGAGTCTGGGCGGGACCGAAAGCCGCGCGAATGTCGTGAGCAATTGTTTACAAGTGTGGAGTCCCGTGAAGGAGCTCCGGATGGAAAGTTTTGTTTTGTGTTTACCTCATAGTTAAAGTTGTTGCACATCTGCCGGTTCCTGCCTCAAAATGAGCGAGTTTTTGAGTTAGCGTTTTGGAATTGTTAATGCAGACCAACAGAGACAGCGCGCAGAAGTGTAAATGCACAGCTACACGCGTTGAATGCGCTGTGGGTTACACCGGTCACTTGACGCAGAAGTATAAACCAGGCTTAATACTTCTGCGTCAAGTGACCGGTGTAACCAACGGCGCATTCAACGCGTGTAGCTGTGCATTTATACTGCTGCTGCTGTCTCTGTTGGTCTGCATTAACACTTCTGAAATGCTAGTTGGCAGTGAGGTGTAAATGTTCCTCTGTGTCGAGTTTCTTTGCCTGTTTTGTTCTTTTTGAACACTTCCGGGATATACAAAAGGCTCAAACTCGCTCATTTTGAGGCAGGAACCGGCAGATGTGCAACAACTTCAACTATGAGGTAAACACAAAACAAAACTTTCCATCCGGAGCTCCTTCACGGGACTCCACGCTTGTAAACAATCGCTCCATCGGGCTCGCACGGCTCTCGGTCCCGCCCAGACTCGTCAGCGCTACAAAGCCGACCAATCACAGAGCTTGGGCTACGCGTCGTTGCGACGTGTAGTTACATTTTTTGAGAGGTGCACGTCAGCGACGCCGGCGGCCATGGTGTAGGGCTATGCGTCAGCGCCGTAGCATACGCGTACGCTTGATGCAGAAGTATAAATCAGCCTTAAACCAGGCTTTAGGAGGCCATGATGGACAGAGGCCGTGGGCAGATTTGGCCAGGATGCCGGGGTTAAACTCCTACTCTTTTTCCAAGGACATCCTGGGATTTTTAACGTCTCATCCGAAAGATGGCGGTCATTGAGCGGTATAGAGTCCCCGTCGCTCAGGGCCGGATTAACCAATGGGCCTTATGGGCACAGGCCAAGGGGTCCGTGTGCACTTGTGGCCCCTGCGAGGGGGAAAAGAAGCCAATTTCGGGGTGTCTTTTTAGGGTAATTGCAAATAACGCAGTTAGTTGGAATAAGCTGTTCACGGTTTACGCCCAACGATGTCTGATAGACAGAGACAAGATGAGTAAAGAGCAAAGCAGCATTGCAGCGTGAGTGGCGTACCTCGTCACGCGCACAGCAGGACCGTGCAGAGACCGTCTGAAGGGCATGTGCAGGATAAATTTTTTGAAGAGCCGGGGGGGGGGGGGGGGGGGGGGGGTTGGGGGGTGTGCGCGCGTACTGAAGAGCGGTGTTGTCGCGCGCGTTCTGATAAGCTGTATAGTCGCGCGCGTACTCAGACCGGTGTTGTCACGCGCCTACTGAAGAGCGGGACCGAGAGTGTGCCGCGTCGCGGGGGCACTTTTGATCATTTTGGAAGGGCACTTTCTATCCAAGACTAAAAAGGGCATGTGCACTGCACAGGTTGAGCCCTATGTGTGCACGTGCCTGGCGCACAGCAACATCTTTTGACGCGATTGATCATCAACCCGGTTCCTATCCACCATCTGCTGAACTCCTGCTACTTTTCCTCTCCCCATTACTCTTCAGATTGGAAATATATTTATTTTTAATAGGAAGAAAATATTTTGTAAAAAATAATGCAAATGTGATATGAAGTGCCCGTGGGTATTTAATAATGTTTAGCCTATTTCATATGTGTAACAGCATCTAAATAGTGATTATATTCTATAAACAGTTATTTTCCGCCTGGTGTAAAATGTTAGCTGAATGTTTCAATGACTCTATGTCTGCTTCACAAAAGGTACAAACATTACAATCCATATTAAATCTATATCTGAGCAACTAGTAGATGTTTGAATATCTCTAACCCCTCACTAAACATCGTAAATATAAATTCATTCATTCATTTCCTTTCAGCTTAGTCCCTTTTTATCAAGGGTTGCCACAGCAGAATTAACCGCCAATTATTCCAGCATATGTTCTACACAGCAGATGCCTTTCCAGCTGCAACCCATTACTGGGAAACACTCAATCACACTCAATGCACACACTCATACACAAGGGCCAATTTAGTAGATCAGTTCCTATAGCGCATGTGTTTGGACTGTGGGGGAAACCGGAGCACCCGGAGGAAACCCACGCCAACACGGGGAGAACATGCAAACTCCACACAGAAACACCAACTGACCCAGCCGGGACTCGAACCAGCGACCTTATTGCTGTGTTAATCTTTAAAAGACTATTAGTGTAATAAGATAAAAGTATTTTTATAATTATTTTTTTGGGTTTTCACCTTTATTGTGATAGGACAGTGGAGATCTGGAAGGTATGGGGAGCAGAGAGAGAGGAAGGGTCGCCAAAGGACCTCGAGCCAGGAATCGATCTCAGGTCACTGAGAACACCTCAGTACCATGTGTCAATGCACTAACCACAAGGCTACTTTTGTAGGTTGCCAGGAGAAAAGTATTTCAAAATAAATATACATATAAAAAATAAATAAGAGGAATGACTAAAGATAGATTACAGATGTTTACCTAATAAAATAAAGTAATATAAAATAACAAAATAGATTATGACAAGACAATTTCAGAGAACCAAAGTAATATTTAATAATAATAATGAATAATATTTTATTAGCCTAATTATGAGTCGTTATTATCAGTAGTTGTCAAAATAATTGTTTGTAATTCAGTTGCTATCAAAATGGTAGAGAAAATAAAGACAAAATAACAATAAAATAATAAAAATAAACGAAAAATAGTAGCTCATAATGAAAAATAATATTAAATATTTATAAATATTTTTTTATTATTAATAATTATAATACAATCATTAAACTATGAACAATAAATTAATTAACTTTCAATGCAATTTTTTGAATACAAGAAAAATACAACAACAAAAGTTGGAAAATATAAAAAATTATCTTCAAAACAGAAACAAAGCCTCAATCATTAAGAAGAAGATTACCACAGGCATTAATAAAATTAAAATATTAGTATTATTAAGATTAAGAGATTAAGCAATTAACGAAATTTCAGCCGGGGTAATATTAAATCATTTTGTGCATAAACAATTTACAATAACACAAAAAAGTGAAAGAAACAACAACAAGGCAAAGCATAAAGTATACATATAAAAAACAGCTGAAGAGTAAACAATAAACAGATCCTTGTACTGAAAATGTACAGCTAAATTACCAGAGCTTTGAAATGTTTACAGATCTAATACACGGTTCAGTTCCTGTCAGCGCTCGGTGTAATGTTAAAAACAATGGCTGACGTCAGCGGCGCGCGTCCAGCAGGGGGCGCGCGCGGAGCTCTGGTCGGGAGCGCGCATGCCCGTGTCCCGCATTGTTTGGATCAGCTGTGCGTGGATGTGAAACCCCACCCAATGAGGAAGGACGAGCCGTGAGAGCAGCAGCAGCAGGAGCCCGCAGACCCGAGCCGACCGACCGCACCATGATCGCGCTATTCAACAAGCTGCTGGACTGGTTCAAGGCGCTCTTCTGGAAAGAGGAGATGGAGCTGACGCTGGTCGGCCTGCAGTACTCCGGGAAAACCACCTTCGTCAACGTGATCGCGGTAAACCGAGCCTTTCTGCTTCATTTATAGGCCGCGCGCGCGAGGAACGGGTCGCGTGATTGACGCCGCGGGCCTCATTACAGCGGACAGATGATCAGACACACACTCACACACACATCAGATACAGCGTTCAGATCAGACAATACAGAGCTGATACAATGTTTAGAAGATACAGTGTGTCGGACTGAGCGTCGCTACGTTAGATATGCAGTGTGTCAAATCAGAAACAACACATCAGATACAGTGTGTCAGACACAGCATCATCACATACAGACAGTGTAGCGAAGTGTCGAAGCAGAAACTACGTCAGACACACGAGATCAGATTCTATGTGTCGGGTATTAGAACAGGTAAAGAAGATACAATGTGTCAGATACAGCGTCAACACATCAGAAACAGTGTGTCAGATACAGCATCATATATCCGATACAATGTATTAAAGTGTCCAATCAGAAACAGCACATCAGATACAATGTGTCAGATATTAGAACAGGTAATATGAAAGATACAATGTGTCAGATCCAGCCTCAACACATCAGAAACAGTGTGTCGAAATGTCAAATCAGATACATCACAGGTGCAGTGTGTCAGATACAGCGTCATACCAAACAATGTATCAAAGTGTCGAATCTAAAGCTAAACATTAAACACAGTAGATCAGATACAACGTGTCAGATATTAGAACTGGGATTATAGATGATACAGTATGTCAGATACAGCGTCATCAGATACAATGTTTTAGATTTAACAACACATGAAATAGAAGATACAGTGTGTTAGATACAGCGTCCACACATCAGATACAGTCAGTGTCATCTCATACAATATAGCAAAGTGTCGAATGAGAAGCTAATCATTAGATAAGGCGTAATCAGATACAATGTTTTAGATTTAACAACACATGAAATGGAAGATACAATGTGTCAGATACAGCGTCCACACATTAGATACAATGTGTCAACTTCAAATCAGATACATCACAATAGATGCAGTGTGTCAGATACAGCATCATCCAATACAATGTATCAAAGGGTCAAATCAGAAACTTAAGTCAAATACTGTAGATCAGATACTATGTGTCAGATATTAGAACTGGTGTTATAGAAGATACAATGCGTCACATACAGTGTCAGATACAACGTCATCACATACAAAATAGCAAAGTGTTGAATGAGAAGCTAATCGTCAGATACAGCGTGATCAGATCCAATGTTTTAGATTTAACAACACATGATCTAGAAGATACAGTGTGTTAGATCCAGCCTCAACACATCAGAAACAGTGTGTCAAAATGTCAAATCAGATACATCACAGGTACAATGTGTCAGATACAGCGTCAACCCATACAATGTTTCAAAGTGTCGAATCAGAAGCTAAACGTTAAACACAGTAGATCAGATACAACGTGTCAGATATTAGAACTGGCATTATAGATGATACAGTATGTCAGATACAGCGTCATCAGATACAATGTTTTAGATTTAACAACACAAAATGGAAGATACAATGTGTCAGATACAGCGTCAACACATCAGATACAGTGTGTCAAATCAGAAACAACAGATCAGATACAGTGTGTCAGATACAGCATCATCCAATACAATGTATCAAAGGGTCAAAACAGAATCTTAATGTCAAATACAGTAGATCAGATACTATGTGTCCGATATTAGAACTGGTGTTATAGAAGATACAATGCGTCACATGCAGTGTCAGATACAGCGTCATCACACACAAAATAGCAAAGTGTCGAATGAGAAGCTAATCGTCAGATACAGCGTGATCAGATCCAATGTTTTAGATTTAACAACACATGATCTAGAAGATACAGTGAGTCTGATTCAGTAGATCAGATTTAATGATTCAAGTCAGAGAGCTTCAGAACAGATACAGCGTGTAGAAGATTCTGTCAGACTGAGCATCGCTACGTTAGATACAATGAGTCAGATACAGTAGATCAGACTATCTGTTTACTGTTCAGCAATTAAAATTGTCTTCCAGACAACATTAACGGTGGCCAAATTACTGAAATAAAGCACCAAAATCGAATTTAGTACAACCAAATTCAGTGTACTCGTCTAAACAGGAGAATTCTGCCTTATTTTTATCCAAAATAAAAGTATCTAACCTTATCCCCCGCTATCTGATCAACACTGAGTGCATCAGTGCATCCACAGTACACTATATACATCACATTATACATAGCATTTGTATTGTTTACCAGTATAAGATGATATAGAAGACACAATGTGCCAGATATTATATGTAGAAAAGACCGTAGGTGTGTTTAGAATTTGTTTAAAGATCCAATCTGCTCCATATGAACCCTTTAGTCATAATAAAAGTGCTCAAGCCAAAGGAAATAGTCATCGGTTTGAAAGAGGATGGAAAAACCCTCGAAATAAAAATTCTGCCATGTAAATCCATTGTTAAGCAGATTACTTTGCCACAGTTTTGGAAATAACACAGCTGTTCATAATAGTGATGAACATAACGGGTCCTTCACACATCATCTTTTCTTTTTACAAGTGCAGCAGATCAGACACAGTGTGTAATCAGTGCAGTCGACTATAATTACTGTGTGTGTAGCATCATTATCAGTGACAATACAGCATCAGCATAGTGTTTCTAATGACATTTACAGTGGGTCAGAGATGACATCATCATCATCATCATCACAATATAACAACACTGAGTCATTCAATATATAGTGAAAATGAACATGCAGAGTATTGATTATTGTAGAGTTTCAGACGTGTAAACGTGTTTGCGTTTGTGTGTGTCTCCTGCAGTCTGGTCAGTTCAGTGAGGACATGATCCCCACCGTCGGCTTCAACATGCGCAAGATCACCAAAGGAAACGTCACCATCAAGGTCAGCACAGACACGTTTAACAGATGTATAGATGAAGTCGGAATTATTCGCCCACCTTTGATTTATTTTTCTTTGTTAAATATTTCCCAAATGATGTTGAACAGATTGAGGAAATGTTCACAGTGTGTCTGATAATATTTGTTCTTTTTGAGAAAGTCTTATTTGTTTTATTTCGGCGAGAATAAAAGCAGTTTTTTATTTTTTAAACACCATTTTAAGGTCAATACTATTAACCCCTTTAAGCTATATTTGTTTTCGATAATCTACTGAACCTTACCTAATTACCCTAACCTGCCTAGTTACCCTAATTACCCTAGTGAAGCCTTTACATGTCACTTTAAGCTGTATAGAAGTGTCTTGAAGAATATCTAGACTAATATTTTTTGAGAGCAGAGATGTTTCATGTATGCAGGTGGTAATGAGTTGTTTCTGTGTGTTTTCCCCACTGTAGTTGTGGGATATCGGTGGTCAGCCGCGCTTCAGGAGTATGTGGGAGCGTTACTGTCGTGGCGTCAGCGCTATAGTGTGAGTATAATATCTACCATCTCGACACACACACAAGCGTCACGTGTGTTCATAACGTCACGTGTGTGTCCTGCAGGTACATGGTGGACGCAGCAGATCCAGAGAAGATCGAGGCATCGAAGAACGAGCTGCACAACCTGCTGGACAAACCACAGCTACAGGGCATCCCGGTCAGTAGAGCCGCACCAGCCGTATCTAAAACACAGCATCACCGTCTGTGTGTCTAACCATCTGTCTGACTGTCTGTCTGAACATCTGTGTGTTTATCTTAGTGTCTGACCGGTCGTGTATCTGTCTGTCTGACTGTCTGTGTGTTATCTGGTCGGCATTGTCTGTCTGACTGTCCGTCTGACTGTCCGTGTGTCCGTCTGTGTGTCCCTCTGTTTGTCCGTCTGTGTGTCCGTCTGTGTGTCCGTCTGTGTGTCCCTCTGTTTGTCCCTCTGTGTGTCCGTCTGTGTGTCCCTCTGTTTGTCCCTCTGTGTGTCCTTCTGTGTGTCCTTCTGTGTGTCCGTCTGTGTGTCCGTGTGACCGTCTGTGTGTCCGTCTCTGTGACTGTCTGGCCGTCTGTGTGTCCGTCTGACCGTCTGTGTGTCCGTCTGTGTGACTGTCTGACCGTCTGTGTGTCCGTCTGTGTGACTGTCTGACCGTCTGTGTGTCCGTCTGTGTGACTGTCTGACCGTCTGTGTGTCCTTTGGCCATCTGTGTCTGTCTGTCTGTCTGTCTGTCTGTCTGTTTGTGTGTCAGTCTTACCATCTGCGTATCCGATTGTCCGTTTGACCGTCTTTGTGTCTGTCTGATTGTGTGTGTCTGTCTGACCATCTGTGTATCTGATTGTCCCTCTGACCATTTGTGTGTCTGTCTGACCGTCTGTGTGTCCATCTGACTGTCTGTGTGTCGGTCTGACCGTCTGTGTGTCCGTCTGACCGCCTGTGTTTCCGTCTGACCGTCTGTGTGTCTGTCTGACCATCTGCGTATCCGTTTGTCTGTCTGGGTGTTCGTCTGACCTTCTGTGTGTCCATCTGGCCGTCTGTGTGTTCTTTTGGCCGTCTGTGTGTCCGTCTGACCGCCAGTGTGTCTGTCTGACCGCCTGTGTGTCTGTCTGTAGGTGCTGGTCCTCGGCAACAAAAGAGATCTTCCCGGAGCTCTAGATGAGAAAGAGCTCATTGAGAGAATGTGAGTTGTAATTTATTTTATTATTCAGCTCATTTTAATGTAAATCATTATTAAATAGAAACAAAAGTGCTAGAATGCACATTTTAATAAAAGTGTTCATCTCTATTATAAACAGCATATTTGTTTTTGTTTGTAAATGCGCACACGAATCTTTAAAGATGTCTTTATCTTGCATTTCATTTTCAGAAGTTCTCTCAGTATTTAAAACGTGTTTTCTATTTAGTGTTCAGTCATTGCGTGTGTATAGCTCTGACTGAAGTCTGATGGTGTGTGTGTGTGTGTGTGTGTGTGTGTGTTGAATCTCCAGGAATCTGTCGGCCATCCAGGACAGAGAGATCTGCTGTTACTCTATCTCCTGTAAAGAGAAGGACAACATCGGTAAGAGACGCCGTTAAACACTCTCAGAGCTCACACTTTTCACAGATAAACAGTTGACAGAACTACTTCTCACTGCTTTCGACACTAACTATAGCTATAATGACTGTCTCTGACTTTAAGAAGTGACGTAAATGATTACTATTATTAATTTAACAAAGTTGCTTGTGACATTGACAACCATATTACATAACAACATAGACATAGCAGTAGATTTCAACCTGCCAACATCCTACTGTCCTTAATAATTATAGCCAGATTTTGCAATTATATATATATAATATTACATTTAGCTTTGGACGATGAAAGTCTCGTCTTCATTTTTGCTATATAGTATTTATCGTTTGTGAGTGTACTGTCTGTATGCTGATAATGACGGATATATTTAAACAATTCTTTTTATTAAGTAAATAATTACTGTAAAATAAATTTAGAGATTGTCATGATGTTGGTGCTTCTTTACGATGTTTTTAATCATCAGCGAGTTCTGTGATTGGCTGCTCAAGCTCTGTTTGGGCGTGTCCTATGCTAATGAGCCTGTTGTATGTGTGTGTGTGTGATGCAGACATCACACTACAGTGGCTGATCCAGCACTCGCGGACCCGGCGGAGCTGAGGGCGAGGCGTCTGATTGGAGGAGCTGCGTCATGTGATCAGCTGTATTCCATTATAAACAAACGAGCATCCGCCCCTCCCCCTCTGTTCTGATAAACTAATCAACATCATGTCCATCGTTTGATTTTTCAGTTTTTACTTGAATGTGCTTTTTTACGGTTCGTCATGACGTGTTTGGTCTCCTCGCGTGCGGCGTTCTGCATGTTTGGGAACGAACCAGCGCTCGGCAGTACGTTCGCGCCAACCTTGTTGTTTTAATGTTATTCCAGCGTTCCCAGAACATTCCCAGAGAATCTGCTGATTGTACGCATTTAACGAGATGGTGAATCTTAGCATCGTTAGCTTATGTGTGCGATCTGGCGATTATAACATCACACTGTTAGCCAAGGTCACATGGTGTGCGTAAAATCTTGTAGCATAACAAAATCTGTCGTTTTATCGGAAAGCACACGAATCAGTCCGAATGAAGGTTTTATATGTTTTCTTTGTGTCGCCGTTGCGTGCAGAACAACATCAGTGTTTAGACGATTCTTTGATCCCCGATTGTTCGTGAAACCATATCAGACGGCAAACGCTGATCTGTTTCTGTTCGTTGCGCTAATAAAACCGAATATCGTGCGAATCTCTTGGTTCCGAACGCTGTTCATATCGGGGAGAAATGAAGATCTTGCCATTGTTTTTTCCGCTTTAATTTTGTTTACAGCTTGTTTCGTTTTTGTCGCACATGTGGACGTTTTTGGCCTAAATCATAACGATTTATAAACACGTCAGTAGTTTATACATATGTAAATTGACATATTTTTTCATTCTTTATTTGTTTTTGGCATGTTTTTACTCATGTTTTTCAGTGTTTTTCAACTGGATTATGTAAATAGCAACTTAAACCAAATGAGATCTCCCCTCTGAGCATTACAGTGTTTGTCTTATTGTGATTAGCATCCTACGATAATAATAATTATAATAATAATAACAATAATGATATTGAAGAAGACTCCACTCATATTCACAGCAATCTGAATGAGCGGATTGTGTGTGTGAGCGATTGTGTATGTGCGCGCGAATGCCGTGATGTAGACTTGAATAATATTTACGTTATAAATGCCGCAGGTTTTTTCTGTTGATTTTGCGCAACTGCTAATCATTTTGTATTCATCTGCACTAATAATTTGATTTTCTGCGTACCATGAGTTCATAATCTAGATGAGTTAGAACACACAAGACGACAAATCGGCATGGCTAAGCTTAAAAGTGGATGTAGCAAATTCATGTTACGACCCACGTTACAATGGTAGTTATTTTTATTAAAACTGCTAACATTTTAGCATTATTGTCGTTGAAAAGCGACAACATAGGCATTTACGAAGTCAACGAAATTGATGTAAAACAAAATTCGAAGTTAGCCAAGTGAAGTTTGTAATTCGTTACAAATTCGTTATCATCATAAATTGCTTTAAATGTAATAAAATTTATAAATTTGTTGATTTATAACAATGTAATTAATTAAGTCATATTCATGGCATGCAACTTTGTTACATTGTTAGTTTCTAAGTGCCCTTTATGTCATAAAATGATACATTTTTAAATTATAGTTGGCCGACTGTCATTTTGTCGTGTTGCGCAAGTCGATTTGACACTAATTGCAGAACACTAGATTTTCTGCTCTCATTCATCGTGACTTAAGCTCATCTGGCCTCTCGTGACATCAGTATGTGTTTATTTGAATATTTTTGTGTGTACTTAAATGTGGCCAAAAGTTTTTTTGTTTTGATATGTTGGGATTCCACACTGGTTTCCCGTTGCATGGCTCATTATGGGATGGAGCAGGTTGCCATAGTTACTGTATAATCAGAGTGTGATTGGACTGAGCTCAATGACGTTTTTTTTTGCTCCTGTTTATATATGGACCCCACAGTACCTTTTTAAAGCAGTCACATAACTACAGTTTCTGTACAAGACTCGATCACTTGAGTTTTACATTCGGGATCTTTCTATTCTCTCGTACTCGCGGTGATAACTGTACATGTTGTTCTTGTTATTTACAGATTATTTAAAAATGAAATTAAATGATTTCCCTCTCAGAAGTGCTGCTGGCTCTTTCTTCAGTCAGTAAATTTGGGTTGAATTCAATAAAATTGGATGGAAATACACTGTAATGTTGATGGTAAAATAAATATGACATAAGAGATTGTAGGTTTTAGTATGTAGAAAGCTACATATGCTGTATCTATATTTATTTTATAGACAAAACACCACAGAAATACCAAGTGTATCATCCCACAATGCATTGTGTATTTTAAAACAAAATGCATTGTTACATAGTAGACGTGTACTGTGAAGTAAACAGCGAGTCACCAGCAGAGGTCAGTAGAGACCAATGTTTATTTCATTAAGTATTAAATAAAATCTCTCCAGTGCAATTTTTGCACTTTAGGTAAACTTGTATGAAGTCTAAACTACAACAAATAACAATACATCATAAAATCAATTAAGACATTAGAAGTTTGTTTATCTTCTAAAATAATAAATAAACATCTGATTTAAATAAAATTACACAGAAATAACAGAACGTCATTCATGCTGAACAATAAGATTACTATGGAAACTATGTTTGGTTTTAATGAGATGTGTATTGGTTATGTCTCCAATTTACTTATTTATTATTTTGATTATGTAATCTAAACTTTTATTATTTAATTATTACCCTCTTTATAATGTATTAAAACCCTTCAATTCTAATGGAATATGTCTCAAAAAGCACACTATTAAAATGTACTGGTTTTAACAGTAAAAATTTGACCATTTCTGTTTTTTATTGTAGTTTTAGCGGTGTTATGTGGTGGTGTCTTGTATTTGCAGCCGGGATAACGAATGGTATTAATATTAAGTCAGAAATAATGAGACAGTTTTGTCTTCTGAATTATTAAATAAACTTTTTCAAAACTGAAATGACAAAAAGAGTGTTTCCGCGCGTGTCGGTTTAAGTCCAGTCAGCGAGTTCGCGCTCTTTTTTTAAAATTTAAATTCACTTTTTAACGGACACACATAAACTCGTAATTGCCGTTCCGTTGGTGGATTGAAGTTACGGTCTTCATGAAGAGTTTGTCGGAGCTCGTTCGCCCCTCAGACCCCTCGCTGATGTTCGTTTTGGACCGGGGCTCCTCTGCTCGGATGTGGGCATTGTGGTGGTCATGGAGACGCGGACAGCAGCCGGATCTCCAGCGGGGCTGAGCGGACACACACCGGCCTTCCTGCCCCCGCGGACGGTCGGTTCCGGGAGCCCGCGGTGCTGTGGAGCGGCTCTGAGGGACGGTTTCCACGGCGATCGGTCAGAGATTCAGTCTACTTAATTCAGGACAAAACAAACAGTGTCTCCGGGAGCGTCAGGACACACACACACACACAGAGAGAGAGAGAGAGCTTCAGATTGAATTTATAATAAGTCCGGTTTATTTCTTCACAGAAGGTCTTTAGCTCAAACAACTATAGCAGTTTATACTATTATTTTTGAGCCATATTGTAGTAAAATTCAAGTTTATTTGTAGCTATAGCGCTTATTGTATCAAAGTGGCCTACTAATAACCTTAACTAGTTAATTTGAATTAAAATACTGTGTGTGTGTGTGTGTGTGTGTGTGTGTGTGTGTGTGTATTTTTCTATTTACAACTCTTTGTTAATGAAAGCTCCAGCATACTGTAGTATTAACTGTAGTGAACTGATAATCTCTAATAAGTGCTATAGTTCATATTCTAGTAAATCGAGGTGGATTGTAGTTAGGCTTGGGCCAGTATACGATTCTTCTGACGGTATGATAACCTTGGCCAAAGATTTACCGGAATTGGGATTACTGCTCTAAAATATATTCTTTTTAAATGTCAGGGTAAAAACAAAACAAACAAACAACAAAAAAATTCCCCCTTGAGCACAAAATGTTTTATTGTTTAAAAGATTTCTAATATTTTGGAGCAGTAAACATGCCCGGCTAAATAATGAAAATTAATTATTGACTTCTGCTGTCTTTAGTTTCAAAAACACTGATTTCTTTACCATTTAAAACTGCGCCTTTGGATATGTTTTTTACTGGAGATGCTGTTGTCCTAAAAAAACGTAAATGAAAAATCTTACCCATACCTTAGGATTACAGAAAATATTGGCGGTTTTAAAACCTTGACTATTCCAAACCACTGTATACCTTGAAAACGGTTATCGTCCCATGCCTAATTGGAGTATAGTATACCCTATAGTTTAAAACTAGTCATTTGTTAAAACATTAGCAACTGTTGAACCACCGCAATAGATTAAAGTACTTTACTATAGTATAATTCAAAAACACTAATAAATTACTTCAGCATTATACTGTAGCATTACTTCAAACAAAGCTCTACTAAATAAAAGGGTTTCATATACCATTAAACCATTACAAACCTCAAATTTCAGCCATTAAAATCAGGATGTTTTAATGGTTATGTATTTTGAGGCACGTCCTATTAGGGTTTATTAGTTTTAAAATGCCATCAATAGAAGCCAGTAGATGACCCAAAGCACTGTTATAGTTTCCATCAACCCTTGTGCACTGTTAAAATGTACTCCCCTTTAATGCAAGTGATGGAAAAAATGCATCAGATACATATTTTAAATGATTTTTTTTTGCATAAATCTGTTAATCAACCTTAGTCCTGACTAATTAATTGCTTAAAAATTACTCTTTAATTGCCAAAGTCATAAATGATGTCACTGATTTGGTGAAAAAACAATACTTACAATAGGCGCCAATAGCCTAGTGGTACTGTGCGCTAACATATAGCACCAAAATGCTCACGGCGACCCGAGTTTGATTCCCAGCTTGAGGTCCTGCAGATCCTTCCCCTCGCTCTGCTCCCAATGCTTTCCTGTTTGAAATCTCCACTGTCCTATCATAATAAAGGTGAAAACCCCTTTTAAAAAATAACTATATAAAACACACACACACACAAAATGACATATTTTTAATATAAAAAGTGTTTGTGGATTGGATTTCTTTCTTAACTCTTATCAAAGTCTTGAACATGTGGATGATTAGTAGCAACATTGGTGTAACGGAGGCCAGCTAGTGTGTGCTGTGCAGGTAAACCTCACTCCTCTGACCTCTAAAGGTGCTCTAGCGACAGAAGCTAGAGGCCATGGTCTTTAGCCTCCTTGATAGAGCACCCGATTGCCATGTGGAAGGTCCCCGCTTCGAAATCAGCCTGGAGCGGGTTGGGTGGTGTAGGACCGGCGGGGTTACATTGACTTTGATGCATTGTTGGATTTTTATTTTTTCTCCCTAATTTACTGTTGGTGGCTGTTTTTGCCCTATTTACTAACAAAAAATGATAGTAAGTTTGCCCACACATATTCTCAGAATATGTGTCCAAATAAGATTTGTCTCCAAAAATGATTCTGCTAGCTGAAACACAAGACTTTGTGGCCAAATTAAGACTCAAAATCAGCCTACAGAGTGGATGACAACATCCCCAACAGCACAAACGGGTTAAAACCCAATAGAATTTCCATTATTAAAAATGACATCCATTATAAATCCTATGATGGTGTTTCTCAGCGGGACTATAACATTGAAAGCACATTTTTTCCAGATGCTTTCCATCTTTTAAATAGTGCCATGGTATCAGCAGCACATCATTTGTGTAGACGTGTTGTGCAATTCAGTGCTGATTTTCATTCATGAATTCACATCTGTCACAGCAGAGTCACAGTGTGTGTGGGTTTATAGTTGAGGAGCGAAACTGTCAACACATTCAGTGACAAAACCTCCTTTGTGGACATTTTGGACGACTTCAGTCAGTTAACACAGTGTCTGAGTTAGTTAAAGACATCATTTTCACTAAATTAGCGATGGCGATTTTAGAGCGTAACCTCCAAGATAAACCTTTAGATTATTTATAAAAACTTTAATCAAGCTGTTTTCAAAATAACACAAATGATATCAAGTTATCAATAACAATAATGTTTTTTAATGTATATTTAGGGATGTTTTGCCTTAAATATATTAACTTAAAGCCTCTCACTTTACCTAATTTGACTGCCTCCGCCTCCTAAATCATACATTCTGCTTCAGTCATCATCAAACATACTGTATACATGAAACATCTATTTTCTGTATTATCTGCATTTTCAGTGATAAAAACACATTTAGTGTGTCTCTCTGTTACATCGATTATAACACGGCAGAACAACCTGTAAAGCACTCATAGAAAAATCATGTGACTTGCTGCAAGTGATGTCACTTCCTGTGGAGGGAAACTCTAGACAGCATTGAGGCGTGTTATTATTCTTCTCTCATTTTTGGGCAACATAGGATTCACCAATAGTAGATTAATGATGTGTCACCACTGTTACTGTCATATTTCTGTCTAGTCATGTTTAAAACACAATAATATGATGAAAACGAATAAAAGTGTGTTTTAGGCACGCCATGTGGTTAGCATCTGGAGCTAAAGCACACAATGATGGAAAACTCTATGGTCAACACTTATGGTTTAAAACATGGTTTAGCAATATGTTGTTATGCCATATATATATATATATATAGGGTACCTGAGTCCTACATGTCCCACAGATATCCACAAATCATCATTATCCTCATAAGTTGATTAACTTACTATTAACTTGTTGCTGTGTATGTTCATATGGTGTTAAATTTTCCCAATGAGCTGTGCTATATGTGGACAAGAACCGCATTCGTCACAAGTATTTTTCCATTTTTTGTATGGTCTTGGTTAAAGCATCACAAGCTGTAAACTAAGCCAAAGCTAAGGGGAAGATCTCAACACAAACAATGATCTTAGACAAAGTACATGAAAATCCAATTCGTAACTTTTTAATTTAGTGGCTAATTCATCGGAATTCGTACGATCTAATCCATACAATTTAGTACGATTTGCTCCACCCAATGACGGTTAGGGGTGGGGTTAGGTGCCACGCCTCCGTTTTAAAATCGTACTGAATCGACTGAATTCATAGGAATTAGCCACTAAACTGACAAACATAAAAATACTTGCGTCTCCGCTTGAGATCGGGCTGGTAAATCACACAAAGACACTGTAAAGACAGGAAAGAACTACAATCTGTCGCACTGCCAAAGATATGAACTCCTTCATTTTCCTTCAACTTAGTCCCTTTATTCATCAGGGGTCGCCACAGCGGAACGAACCGCCAACTATTCCAGCATATGTTTTACCCAGCGGATGCCTTTCCAGCTGCAACCCAGTTCTGGGAAACACCCATACCCACTCACTTATACACTACTGCTAATGTAGTTCATCAGTTCCCCTATAGCGCATGTGTTTGGACTGCTGGGGAAACCGGAGCACCCGGATGAAACCCACGCCAACACGGAGAGAACATGCAAACTCCACACAGAAATGCCAACTGACCCAGCCGGGACTCAAACCAGCAACCTTCTTGCTGTGAGGCCACAGTGTTAACCACTGCTGCCCCAAGATATGAATTGTGAGTACATTTGTAGAATTTTTGGACTATACCTCAAAGTAAGCCAGTTTTTTCTTTCATTTTAGAGAATCTGAATGTCTGTCTCTTCTTGAAAGTCGTCATTTGTTCCTTTAAAAGATGGCGCCACAAAACTGCACCAAAACAAACGTGTGGAAAAGTCAGCTAAAGCTGTGAAACACACTCTTGACCTCATTGTGCGCGGGTCACGACAGCGCGGAGCGTTTAATCTACCCTGGATTACTAGCTGCGCCATTCTTCCCTCAGCAGAGCCGATCGGCCCCTCATCAGAGCGGGGCCCGGTCTCCACAGCAACCGGCTCTCGGACAGAATGTGCGTCTGTTTCTGCTCTGCTGTTTGGGGTCTGAATGCCGAAAGCCGGCGTGTGACAGTCGCCTAGCGACCGCTCTGGGCCCTCTATTGATATTCAGCGCGGGGGCCGCAGATCAGGAACAATATGGTCCTTATGGGCCCCCACGACTCCTCCTGAGAATCTACTGTAGGAGGAAAATCCCTTCGCTCAGACGAGCAGGTCACATAAGTACAAATCCTTAATTGTGTTTGTGTGGAAAAGAGAGAGAGCCTTGCGAAGTTTCTGCGACTTTTCTTTTATTGTCTGCAACCAAGTACAAAAACATACAAAAGATTCGATGCTAACAATCTGTTTAGCTAATATAATACTGTCTATCTATCTATCATGTTAAAGTAGTGAAAGAGCATTTCCCCTAGTCCAGTCATTTATCTCTGCTGAGTTTGTAAACAAACACAACACGTTTAATTCCAGCAGAGAATCAGTCTTTAACAAAATAATCCTGATGATGTTTTATCCCTACACTCTCAGAAATAAAGGCACGCGAGCTGTCACTGGTGGTACCTTTTCAAAAGGAACACATTTGTACTTCAAGGGTCCATATTGGTACCTCAAAAGTATATTAGTACCTACAAATGTTAAGAGGAACAAGGACTTTTGTACTTTTTTAGATACTAATATGGACCTTTTAGGTACAAATTTGTCCCTTTTGTAAAGGTACCACCCCAGTGACACCTCGTGTACCTTTATTTCTGAGTGTATAAGCATCTGCATAAGAATAACGATCTGCAAAGCTGATTTTCATCTTGAACACTGACTCTTAAAACAAGACAGTTTAAAAATTAAGTGCATAAAAAAATATGCTTTCAAGTTTGCCAAAAGTGTCCATCCAGCAATACAGTATATTTATACTCGACATTAGCTGTTAATTCCTACAAAATAAAAACTGGTTACAATCTACATGCGTGTCTGTAGTGTAGAACAGGGGAAACACCGACTGAACTACAGCAGATGTTGAGGATTCTACACCAATAAACCTTATCGAGAGGAAGCAGGATTCTGATTGGCCGTAGACAAAGAGGAAATTGTTTCTATACTTCCCGCTCATAATCCAGCAGAGAGAGAGATAAGGGGCCGTTCACACAGAATGCATTTTTTCTTTCCAATACACCAGTGCTCCTCAATGTTTTTATCACCGCGGACTGGTCAACGCTTGACAATTTTACCGTGGACCAGGGGGTGGGTGGTTCATAGGCGACCATCAATCATTTTCTCAGAGGATGACAATCTGATAAAGCACTGTTGTCACTCTGATACAAGTTTCACTTATGGAGAAAATTACAAAGCGCTGCAGTCTTTGGCTGTTCTGTGTTTGTCTGAGATGTTTAGTCTACCGAAATGTGAATATCCCATACAAGCTGAAGCGGATCTCTTAGTTCTTGTCACATGACTCGCGGTGCGCTCGCGGCATTCAATCAACTGGGGGCGTCTGGAAGGCGCAAGTGCATCACACCTCTTGCATGCGCAAGCCGTACACCTCCATTGGAATTAATAAACTTGCACGAACTCTAGAAAAGACGTGATATGCTAACAGCTCCTAAAAGGCCACCGTCATTTGCGATCTCCAGCAGGTGATCTTCTAGCACAGATATGCTGGATTCACCTGATTAGTTGACAAAAGCGTTAAGGATCCATTGCTTGGCAGTTAATGAGTCCTTCATTGGGCCTTTACCCCATTTGCAAAGAAACTTTACAACAACGTCGGTTTCTTACTCATTTTGCTGCTTGTGGGTTAAATTTTTGGCGCTCAAGTGGCTGAGATGTAAGCGAGAGAAATAAAAGACTTTTCAAAATAAAAGATGGTTCAGACTCGGATAATAAATAAAAGGGAAATAATTAATGTTTTCTTTTGCGGCTCAGTACCAGTTGATCCACAGACCGGTAGAACTACTTTTACATTGTTTTTCTATGTAATCACTCTTGATAAGTCGTGTGTGTGAGTGTTATGCTTGCTTCTTCTGCACATGAGCACTGCATATTTACCACACCGTGTAAGATTAATTTACATTTTTACATGCGAAATAGTTCATCAATATCAGTTCCAAAGCAGTGGGCCAATCAGAAGAGCGGGGCAAATGTTGCGAACTTATGTGTACAGTAGCAAGTTGGCATGACAAATGTTTAATTTGATGGGAACATACGCAAGTTTTTTGTGTGCTCTGTCCTCTTAAGAGTGTTGGCAACTGAATGATACTTTACCGTTTTCGTATGTCAGTTCCAAAGCAGTGGACCAATCAGAAGAGCTTAGAGGTGGGGCAAGTGTTTCAAACTAATGTTTACAGTATCAAGTTGCCATGACAACTGTTTAATTTGATGGAAAAATTGGTGAAATTTTTGTGTGAACTGTCCTTTTAAGAGTGTTAGCAACTAAATGATATTTCATAGTTTTCGTATGTCTGTTCCAATGCATGGACCAATCAACAGAGCTGAGAGGCTTGTCAAATGTTGCAAACTTATGTTTACAGTGGAAAGTTGCCATTACAACTGTTTAATTTGAAGGTAAAATGGGTGAAATTTTTGTGTGCACTGGCCCTTTAAGACGAAAACGAAACTTCACCATTTTTGTATGTCAGTTCCAAAGCAGTGGACCAATCAGAAGAGCTCAGAGGAGTGGCAAATGTTGTGAACTTCTGTTAACAGTACAAAGTTGGTATGATAACTATTTAATTCAATGGTAGCATGGGCAAAATTTTTGTGTGCACTATCTCTTTAAGAATGTTAGCGACTGGACGATCCTTAACAGTTTCCGTATGTCAGTTCCAATGCATGGACCAATCAACAGAGCTTAGAAGCTGGGAAAATGTTGCGAACTTATGTTTACAGTAATAAGTTGGCATGACAACTGTTAAATTTGATGGTAACATAGGCAAAATTTTTGTGTGCACTGTTCCTTTAAGAGTGATAGCGACTGAACGATACTTCACAGTTTTGTATGCCAGTTCCAAAGCAGAGGACCAATCAGAAGCGCTCAGAGGCGGGGCAAGTGTTGCAAACTTATGTTTACAGTAGCAAGTTGCCATGACAACTGTTTAATTTGATGGTAACAATTCTTTTTTGAAACTATTCCTGAGTGCTTCATCTCACATTTTAGACGCACTCTGTGTGAATGGTCGTTTGTATATTACACATTTTAATGTTTCGTTTATCTGATTTGTTGAACAAAATTTGCTGGAATGACTTCAACAAGCATTTTTTGTGTGCACTGTCCCTTTAGGGTGCATTGTAAACCTAGAATTTTGTTTGGGAACCTGTCTCGTTTGCCCAGTTAGCGCAGTTAGTTTGGCAATTGTGAATCCACCAATCGTGCTCGGATCCGCACCAAAACAATCCGAGATCAAAACAGTCCGAGATCGCCTGAATGAGGTGGTCAGGGCTCGATTGAAAAGAACTCTGGAGTGGATCGATTGTAGTGAGAAAGCTATACGATTCGAGCCCGGCTACATCACAGTGTTTTATGGATATGTAATAGGCATACGGCTATATGAAGAGAGAATTATGAGTAAGGCAGGAGGTCATTCCAGACATCCCAAGTCTCCCGGAAGTTCCAGGAGTCTCCCGCGAATGCACAAAGACTCCCAGTTGCCTGCAGTTTTCGTATGTCAGTTCCAATGCATGGGCCAATCAGAAGCTGTCAGAGGCGGGGCAAGTGTTGTGAACTCCTGTAAACGGTAGTTTGATTGTAAAAATACATTTTTAAAACCAATCCTGAGCGCTGCGTCTCACATATTATGATGTATTCTGTGCGAACGGCCCCGTAAATTTTGTATATCTGATTACACATTTATTCGTCCATAGAAAAAACAACATGTTTTGTTCCCTTTAAGAGTGTTAGCGACTGAACGATACTTCACAGTTTTCGTAAATATGTCTGAGTCAAGATCAACACGGCGTACCGATGATCAGCTCAGCTGGACTCTCCTTAACCTTATCGAAAAACACGGCCGGCGATGTCCCAGACACGATCTTGAGCTTGTCCTCTTGCATGGAGACGGGCGAGGCCGGCGGCGAGGACACGGCGGTGGCATTGGTGGACACAGACGAGGTCGTACAGGAGGACGAGGGATCTGAAAAACACTCCTCGCAGCAGCAGCAGCAGCAGTCCATGAACGCCTGACCTAGAGACCGACAGATGCACAGCAGCACAACCGGCGTCGCTCCGGCACGCACAAACAACAAAAACTGACCAATCAGAGCCAGCAGAGCCTGTGTGGCCACACCCACATCCACGCCCACATACGCCAGCACGATATTCCAGATGTATTCCGGCAAACTACATATCGCGTAGATGAACGCCAGCGCCACTACCGTTCGAGTCAGCTGACGCTCTCTTCTTCGTTTTTTTATCGATGATGAAGAGGACGATGATGATGTTGATGATGAACGTAGGGTTTTTTCATCCTCGCTGACGTGTCGAGTGAGTAGATGACAGGCACCTGTGAACAGCAGCGGCAGGCAGAAATAGCAGCCGAACGTCCACCACATGCGGGCGTGTTGGTAGGTGAGCACCAGCGAGAGCAGTGCGTCAGGCAGATCCGCGGACGGCTGTGGGCGACAGGCGTCCACTGGGAGACCTGACTGCGGAGACCCGTCCTGCTCCAGACGCCACAGCAGCAGCTCCGGCGCCGCCAGCAGCAATGAGCCCAGCCAGATCACAGACAGCTTGGCCAGGATTGACTGACAGGACTCGCCCTGCCGCGGCCTCGACTGACCGCTGGTCACCGTGTGGAAGCGGTCGATGCTGAGCGCACACAGAGTAAACGTGGTCACGCCCAGGGATGCCACCTGAAAAACAAAATGAAAAAATGCATCACATGACCTGCACTAGTAAATGAACAGTGTGTTCCAAACAGCATACATCACTTCCGGGCACTTCAGAGTGAAAAAAGCCATGGACGCCATATTGAAGTTGTTACGATTAGAAGCAATGTGGGGTTTGCGGATCGCTGGAGAACACTCTCTGTCATTCACATGAACTACATATCCCATCATGCACTGCACTCATACGCCAGTTCCAGATCACGAGAAGCTTGACATGTCTGATTGGGACTATATATACACATCACACACACACACACATTCGTTGCTGAGTCTTGTTTTCCCACTGAGCAGTATGCAAACATTTCCCGTCCAGTCTAGCCATGATATTTGACCCTTGTTTGTTTCTGTTTCTGTTGTTTAGCCGCCTGCCTTGATCTCATCTCCTGTGAATGATTACTGCTTGGTTTTCCCTTAGACTACTGTTTGCTCCTGTACTAACCTTGCCTGTCTGATCTGTGTGTGTGTGTGTGTGTGTGTGTGTGTGTGATTTACACTTAAAATGGTCAAACCATATTTTTGCATATGTAGCATTGTAGCAAATATTTTTTGAACATGTACACATGGAATATCCAGTCTGATCTCACGAGGAAACGTAAGTATTTTACGTTTTGTCAGTTTAGTAGCTAATTCGTACAAATTCAGTAATACGAAAATGTACGGTTTTAAAAAGGAGGCGTGGCACCTAACCCCAACCGTCATTGGATAATGAGCAAATCGTACTAAATTGTATGAATTAGATCTTACGAATTTTTACGAAATAGACACTTAATCAAAAAGTAACGAATTGCCGTGAGATTGCGTTGGAATATCGAATGTTTTGGATTTCACCATGGCAAAATCGTGTTTTTTGTTTTTTGTACTGTGGTCATACTGTGATTTTCGGCAGATGGTGAAGCTATTTTTGGACCTCATAATACCATGGCTTGGAAGACATGTTATAATAAAATGTATCATGGTTTAGGCTGTTTTTAAATACATTTTCCATTGTAAATCCATGTTTTTGATCATATACCATGGTTTCATTGGAACTCCACCAGTTTTGTGAAGTTACACTGTAGTGATACCATGTTTTTTTAGGCATGTACAATGGTAAAACACATCTATATTTACATTCTCTTTTTACTTAAGCTGCTGTGAAAACAAGTGTTTTGCACATCCACCATAGTAAGTACATGTTTTTTAACATTTACCGTGATGATAAGTTATTTACCATGCAAATACCATGGTTGAGTATGCAATTATTTAACACCATGGTACATTTATCAAAACTCCCAGTATTTTACCATGTTTTACAGCACTAGCAGCCAGCTAGCTGCCACCGTTAACATTTTTACTATATTTTGAATATGTTAAAATAACTCATTTGCATCCATTAATATGTTAATTTTTGGTCATGTGAACAGTTTTAGGGCCACAGAAGTGGGTCAACAGACATGGAAACACTCTCCGCAGACAATCCTGTCCTTAAAGCACTCTAAACACTCATTCAACACGCTAATGAGGCCAATTAGTGCCGCTAATTATCCCCAGATCTCATTTACACCACAATGAGGAGAGCTGGTGCGTTACAAGAGGAGGCTGGAAAATAAACTCCAGGAACCACCGCACAATCACACACACACACACACACAAACACACACACGCTGTGAGGGATTATAGCAGTGTGTGTGCTGCTTTCACTTCTGCCTGTTCACCTGCCAAAAATTAGCATGTTTCTTGCTAGCCAGATAATGTTTGTGTTCTGAATGAGTGTTGCTTCATGATCACGCATAACATCTTTCTTAAATGTTGGGACACATTCATAAACTGGCTGATGATGAACAGAACTTTGGGTCAAACATGGACAAACCCAAACCGTATTCATAGATACGCTTAAACGTAAATAAATAAATATGTGTTGATTTTTAATATTAATTTCAGTAATATTGAATAATCTGCAAGTGTTTAGATTCCGAGTAGTCTTTTAGTTAATGTACTTTACGAGAGACTTGAAAAACTAATTGGATTTGCATCGTAAAGCTTGAGTAGAAGTGTAAACGTTATCATTTAATATTTCATGCGTTTAGTTTTTACTCACTTTACTGTCCACAGGTTGTGTTCGGCCCTGGATATCACCCATCCCTCTGGTACTGAGATAGATTTATCAATTAACTGACTGATTGGTTGATTAATTGATCATCTGAATGGCAGATTGTTTGGTTGATTGACTGATCGATTGATGCCTCCAACTGGTTGGTTGGTTTATTGATTGATTGATTAACTTACTGATGACTGGCTGGTTTGTTGATTGATTGACCAATGACTTGTAGGATGGTTTGTTGATTGATCAATTATTAGATGGATTGATAGACAACCAGACATATTGATCGAGTGATTAACCGATTGACTGATTGGATGGTTTATTGATCGATTGAGTGATTGACAAATGACTGTATGACGGTTTGTTGATAGATAGACGGACGGACGGACAGACAGACAGACAGACAGACAGACAGACAGACAGACAGACAGACAGACAGACAGATAGATAGATAGATGAAATTATAGATAGATAGATAGATAGATAGATAGATAGATAGATAGATAGATAGATAGATTGATTGATTGATTGATTGATTGATTGATTGATAGGTTGATTGATCTGCTCTACGCACCTCCACATAGGGCACTGCTCTGCAGGACAGGTCCCCCATCAGCCTCCTCTTGGTCAGCTCATTGAAGATGACCACCGGCAGGCAGAAGAACAGCACCATGAAGTCCCAGAAGGCCAGGCTGGCCAGCACGCAGTTCCAGGTGCTCTTCAGGTAATAGTTGTGCCACACGATACACATGAGCGCCAGGTTTCCCACGATGCCCACGGAGAACACGATCAGCGCCAGCAGCAGCACGGCGTAGGCGCTGTAGGACTCGTCGGTGACCGGGAACAGCGGGTTGTGGAGGCGCAGCGCGCCGCTGAAGGGCCGCGGGGTGGTGAAGAAAGTGTCCGCCTCCGGGTGCGCTCTCGGCGGCTGCGGCTCCGAGCGCTCCCGCGGTCTGGATTTGGAACCGCGCGGCACTCTCGGTGCGTGACCTGCTCTACCTGCTTCATGCACAGATGATGATGATGATGATGAATAATATGGATGTGATGATGAAGGCTCCATCTTCGTCTCCAGCGCTCGGTTCTCCGCCTGGATGGAGGCTGCGAGCGCCATCAGGACCAGTAAAGCGCTCAGCATCATGATGGAGCAGAGTTGTGAAGCGGAGGATGGAAATCTGCAGTCTGAGAGGCTCTGAACAAACTCTCAAACTTCTGCTTTCACTTCATCATCCATGAGGAGCGACAGGCGCAAAGCTGCCCCCTGGCGGAGCGCGCACACATGACACAGTGTTCAGCATAGTGAGTACACCTCTTTCTTAAAATTGTATCCATTTCTTAGTGACTATAGGTCATTTAATTTAGTGCATTTAAACAAGGGTTTTATTAAAGACACATTGTTAATTTGAGAGTTTGGTCAATGAACTTCTTTAGGAACATCTTTAGCAAAAACAAATCAAGAAACTACAACATTTCAATTAAACTTATATTTTTATGTTTCTCTTGTTTTTCCCCTGTTCATTAACATTTAATTTAATGTTTTCCTCCAATGTATTAATCCAAGAGATCAACATCCCATAATGCGATTCACAACTATAAATAACCAGAAAACACTTGTGAATGGCAAATACAGACACTTAAAGAATGGATATTTTACCATGTCAACTAAAAGATACTGAAGTATTAACTGAAGAACTGTTATAGAAGCCTATACTTTAGTTTTTACTACAGTAAACTGTGGTGTATTGTAGTATAATAAACCCTATATCTGTAGAAAACTACAATATTTGTTTATATTACTATAGTTGGTACCATAGCAACCGTAGAATCACCACAACAGGTCAGTTACTATTGTTGTTGTGTTACCATAGCAACTGTAGAATCACCACAACAGGTCAGTTACTATTGTTGTTGTGTTACCATAGCAACTGTAGAATCACCACAACAGGTCAGTTACTATTGTTGATGTGTTACCATAGCAACTGTAGAATCACCACAACAGATCAGTTACTATAGTTGTGTTACCATAGCAACTGTAGAATCACCACAACAGATCAGTAACTATTGTTGATGTGTTACCACAGCAACAGTAGCATCACCACAACAGATTAATTACTATAGTTGTTGTGTTACCATAGCAACTGTAGAATCACCACAGCAGATCAGTTACTATAGTTGTTGTGTTACCATAGCAACTGTAGAATCACCACAGCAGATCAGTTACTATAGTTTTTGTTACCATAGCAACTGTAGAATCACCACAACAGATCAGTTACTATAGCTGTTACCATAGCAACTGTAAAATCATCACAGCAGATCAATTACTATAGCTGTTGTTACCATAGCAACTGTATAATCACCACAACAGATTGATTACTATAGTTGTTACCATAGCAACTGTAGAATCACCACAGCAGATTAGTTACTATAGCTGTTGTTACCATAGCAACTGTAGAATCACCACAATAGATCAGTTACTATAGTTGCTACTTTGTTGTACAATTTACAGTACCGGGCACATCATTTTTAACTTTAGTTCATGTATTTATGTGTAGTTTTGTATTTATTATGTCTGACTATATACAGTATGAGTTATTGTGTATTTTTGTCTAGACTTGTGTAATCTACAGTAGTCGACTTTCGAAGTGAATCAAAAATGGTTTTTGAAATTGTGCTAGGACAAGTATGGGGGATGTCCAATAGTTTTAGGACAACTTCTATGTTGATGACCCACCCACTCCAAGTGTTGACTATTGTATAGTCTGTGTCAGTGTTGCTGTGATTCTGTGTGTGAGAGAGCATGCGAGTGTGTGTTTTTTATTGTGTTTCTCCGTGTGTGTGTGTGTGTGTGTGTGTGTGTATGTATCTATGTATATGTGTGTGTGTGTGTGTGCGGGTGCGTGCGTGAGTGTGTGTGTGTGTATATATGCGTGTGTGTATGTATGTGTGTTAGTGTGTATTTTTAGTATCAGTGGTGACCTCAGTGTTTCTTCACTCACACAGACACAAAAGATCATGATGTTGCATCACATACACACAATACTCTGATACTCCCCCTCTGTCACCGTGTGTGTGTGTGTGTGTGTGTGTGTGTATGCGGGTTATTTTTATCTCTCAGGTGTTCAGTGTTTGAGCTCTTTCTTCACCTGTCAGACAATGAAGACACACACATTACTGCAGTCCATCACTCATCTGTTCAGAATTACAACACACACACACACACACACACACACACACACACACACACACACACACACACACACACACACGTACGTCATCTTTAGGATTAACCAGAAATATGATGCTTCTAATGATGTCTGACACACACACACATGCACAAATACAGACGCACACAAATACAGACGCACACGCAGATGCACTCTTCACACAAACACACTCACACGTAAATACACATACAGACTCATTCATACACACACTCTCTCTCACACCACAAATACATTGACACACACATTCGCACACAAATATACACACACCACATCTTGTGTGTATTTGCGTGTGCCTGTGTGTTTAAGAAAGATTGTGTGTGTATTTGTCTGTGTCTATTTGTGTGCGTGAGTGTGTTTTTGTGTGTGTGAGAGAGGTAGTGTTTAAGACTGTCTGTGTGTGAACGCATGCACTGAATATGTGTGTGTGTATTTGTGTTAGTATTTCAGAGCTTGAATTTTAGACATATTAAACCTAGAACATATTTAAAAACAAACTTAGGTTCTTGAAAGTGCTTGAACATAAGCTTTATGATGTTATTTCAGAGAGTCCGTTTGTGTTGGTTTAGTATGATATTTATGAGTGTGTGTGTGTGTGTGTGTGTGTGTGTGTGTGTGTGTGTGTGTGTGTGAGAGAGAGAGAGTATGTGTGTGTAAACATGTTTGTGTGTTTGTATATTTGTATTCGTGATATGAGATTTATGAGTGTGTGTGTGTGTGTGTGTGTGTGTGTGTGTGTGTGTGTGTGTGAGAGAGAGAGAGAGTATGTGTGTGTGAACATGTTTGTGTATCTGTGTGTTTGTATATTTGTATTCGTGATATGAGATTTATGAGTGTGTGTGTGTGTGTGTGTGTTTGTGTGTTTGTGTGTGTGTGTGTGTGTGTGTGTATGTAGGGTTACCACTTTTGATACAAAAAAGCACGTGACGCACACTGCAGCAGGGGCTCCATCGCTTAGAGGCCACAAAAACAGGCTTTGGATGAGCAGGGGGGTATTCCAGAAAGCTGGGTTAACTTACCATCTGCTAAACCCTGAACTCTCGGTTGATTTACCCAAAACCTGCTTACCGCGAGTATGTTGGTTTCAAAACAGGTGAAAAGAGTTAGTTAAATCAACCTGAAGATAACCGCGGGTTAATGCGCGTGCACGGCACACACCTGAAGGCATTTTCAGTAGATCGCTGAATTCACGAGACACCATAGAAAGTCACGGTGAGGAAAAAAAAGGGCAACGCACTTTACAGAGGCGAAGCTGGAGGTTTTAATCACAGATTACACATCTGCTTCAACGAAGAAAATAAATATAAGATAATAAATAGATAAAAGAAAAAAATAAATAAGAAGAAAATTCGTTAGTTAATTAAATTACACATGCCACCCTCCATTTTATTGTAGTGAAAATTTTAACTTTTCTTTAACATTCTTTTTGAGTATGTTGTGTAACCATTCATGAATTTATTTTTCTTGCCATAAGTTTCTTAAGACCACAAAACAAATGTGTATTGACTATTAAGGCTTATAGAAATTGTAATCTTTCTGGAGCTAGAACTCTGTCCTAAGTCATTAAACAAAGAAACATTATCATAAAAGGTAATATTTAATAATTGGAACTCTGTATTTAACACTCTAGAATATTCTTTCTGTCATGCAGCTAATAGAAAGAGGCCTGTCTATCTGCTGTGGGCCACCAGTTAGAGGAGCTGCTCTGTCCTTTAATAAAGGCTCATCAGTGGTTGAGTTTTTGACTTAAACCACACAATCTGTCACTGTTGTAATTGATTGTTGTCAGGTAGTTTTAGGTTCTTTTTATGCTTTTTAATTAGCATACAGACGAAGTTCCTTCTGCCTCAACTAACAAGCAGTGTAAGAATTTGTCTGCACTTTTCCATATTTGAATTTTACTCTTGGATCACAAAATCTTATATTTATATATATATATATATATATATATATATATATATATATATATATATATATATATATATATATATATATATTTATATAAATAAATTCTAAAGTAGCTGTACAAGTCCATCTTCAAAGATAAATAAAGTCACATGAGTATCACCTTAAGGTGAGAAATGTATATGAAAAATCTGTTACATGTTCAAAGGTGCGTGTATAAAGCAGTGTAAAAAATCATTCATTTTATTTCAGGAAATGAAGAAATGAACAGGCCAAACTATTTGATTAAAAATACATTTTTGTGGCAAATTATATTTCTTAGCACTCTTCCATCTCTTTTTTTCTGCTTGGGTCAATGAGATTTTCTTTGGGTCAGGCTGCAGGTAGAGTGTCGTCGTATAAGGCAGAAAAGGGTATATTTTGTCCTCCAGCAAGTAACAATGTAGTGCCCAGTAATGATTTAATTGTATAATACAAATATATTAAAAATGAACATTGTGTAAAGAAACATTTGCTTTCCAGTTTGTTTGTTTTTTACTATATTTGTATTATACATTTAAATCATTACTTCCTGAAAATCAGCCATTTAGCCTCAACATAGTGTTGAGGTGAGGTCATCACATATGAGCTAGTGGAAGCAGTAATGGGTTTAACAGTTAAAATACCAAAAGATTAAGGACAGAAAATTAAGTTGTACCTGCACATTTATACTATCATTACTATGGACAGATTTCATATTATCAGTGTCCTTTAGTGACCGATGGAGCTTTAAAACCGGCTGCAATTAATGCACACAATAGAATTTGGAAACCCTGAAAAAAATATATATTAAAAAAATGTAGGTGTGTGTGCATGAATGTATACATATGAACGACGTCCTACATCTTAAATTATGGATATATTTTCCTACAAAAGACAAAGATGCCACTTATAATATTATACAGAAAAATGTGAGGGTGCAGAAAGAGAGAAAAACACAAGATCTGTAAGTGAGCTTCGAACTCGCTCCGCTGTGCGCTGCGTCATTTTATGACACACTGTCCACTACGCTATTGCCATGCTCTGAATCAGCTATGTAATGATACGCAGTGATTTATGACCAAGGAACTGTACAAAAGTGTATAAAACAGTTCAGTGCCA